ACACGGTCTCCCTGGGAACAAAACCTCATTCGAAGACCCCAACTTCCCTAATCTACCTTGAATGTTGAACTCCTGCACCAGCATCTTACAGAGGATGCTCTTAAGTAGAACTCTGCAGATTTATTTTAGTTCTTCTTTCTGCACCTTTGTGATGTTTTAGGCCCTCTATTCTCAGGCTTTCCTTTACACTGGACCAGTATCACTGTAAATGTGAATGCACAACTGCTCCTAGTGATTTCCTTTTAGCCAGTTAACCTCTTATTGCAAGTGGATGAATGTTTGCTCAGCCTTTGTTGGTAAAAAAATTATCTTTAGTGTTTGTGTTCTCAGAGAGAACAATAGGTTTTATTAACTTGCCAATCCTTATTGAATTAAAACTTTAAAAAAGGAAATGCTGCCCTGAAAAGATGCACTGCTAATTTAACGTTAATAAAATATCTACATAATTCCTGCTGTGGATGTTTTTTTTGTTTTTGTTTTTTTGTGAAAAAAATAAAAAAGCACTTGTATAAATATATATTTTGCAGCAAGTCTCACTGTATTGAAACGGTTTTGGAACATTTGATTCATAAACTTAATAAGTGTCATTTTCATTTGTCATTATAGCTGTCTAAAGCTTTGTTGTTGAAAGACTTTCTAAATGTGCTTTTCATGTTTTCTGAAGGATTGTTGTAAAATAGAAAAGGTTTAGTTATTAATATATATCAGATTTATGCTTTTCTTTTTATGTCCAATGTTTCTTTGACTGTTTAGTTTGCTGCTTCAGAAACAAAATAAGATAAAAGTGTTTAAATCTTACAGAGTCGTGTGGTTGATTGACTTGATCTCAATTTTTTTTTTCTGAGATTTTTATCATTCATGATGGTTCCTGCACTATTGTCGAAGTTGTTGTTCTGTGGCCAGAAGTATTTTGGGGAATTAAGCACCTATAACCTTGGTGACCTTTATAAAAGTGTCTGGTTGTTCTGAAACCTGTCAGATGTAAAAAAAAAAAACTGCGGATGTTAAATTGACTGTTTATCATAAATGATCTCTCATTATAGGCCTTGTTGTGGTTTTAATCTGAATCCTCTTTGTGTCTTAGACTTTGAAATGATCCATGGTTGTCAAAGATTAGATCAGAGAGGTTGATGGTTTCATAACCAAAAATTAGACCTAGGTTATTTATTCCTATCCCAGTCAATACTTCAATGGAAAACATAGCACTAGATCATGTTGCTCCAATCAGTGGAGGTTAAAAGCCAAAGGTGTTCAATACAATTTTGATGGGACTGAAAAGGTTGGTAACTGGATAACAACAATAAATATATTTAATTGAACCTTGCCTTTTTTTTTTGTCATTTTAAGGTTTTGGGGAGTATTTTCATTTCTCATTTAGAATAAAAAACTAAAACTGTAATGCTTTTAGATATTGAAAGATCTACTTTTATGTTAACCGCTTATTTTTTAACTTTAGCAAAGTGACCATAAGGTATATTTACAGTCTTCATTTTGTCCCTAAATATGGCGTATCAGATCTTTTTTTTATACGTAGGTATTTGTATTAATTGAAATGTTAATTTTCCATACTTTTGCATAAGAGGTTTAATGTCTAAGAACTTTGTGAAATACAATCCTGTGTTGGGCCAACTGATTAAAAAAAATAGACAAGCAAAAAAACATGACGGTGACTCCCCCTGCTGGTAGATTACAGGTACTCCAGACATAAAGAATATCTTCAAATTATAGATCAGTGCTTCCATTTGTCTTTTTATGCATATAAAACCTACTTGTTGCATTTCCAGTATTGTTTCTAACAGGGTTCAGGAGCCTTTAAATCCAAACCTGCATCAGGCTGTGTGTGCGCTTCACATTCGCTGCTAATTGACTTTTCATAGAAAAATAAAGTTTTTTCTTTTTAACCGGGCATTTGTAAGCATGTATTTCTATAAAAGGATTTCAACAGGCCAGCTACATCAGTATACCAGTAATTTTAAAGTTGTTTTTTGTTTTTATTTTTTCCATAGTGGCTTTTGGCTCCTAAATATAATTAAGATTAAGCCCAAAAATGTTGATACCCTTTGAAATAGTCTTTAAATTTGACCATTACGCTTCTGTTGATTAAAGCCCACTTAGGAGAAAAAAGTTAGAGCAAAGTGTTGTTTATAAAGCAGACGATTCTATATTAAATACTTTTTTTCTCTCTTTCTTTTCAGCTAATGAGGATGTTATAAGATGTCAGGACTGTGGGCTTGTGTTTACCCTCATGGATGCCTATGAGACTCACCTACACCAGCACGCATTGGAAGAAGAAGAATCCCAGCTCCGAGACAAAATGGCTCAATGTGTGGCAGCTGAAGAAAATGGACACAAAGATGGGAGCGTTGGTGCTGATAGTCCAGGTGTGAGCGGTTGGCCACCAACCCAAATTCCCAACTCATCACAAATAGATAATTACTCCCCTGTCTCTATGAATAACTCTCGACCGGTTTACAACTGTGGGGTCTGTGGGAAGATCTACACCTACCTGGTTTCCTTTCAAAAACACCTAAAAATACATGAAGAACCACCTGAGAAAGAAACACCCCCCCCACAGGTGGAACACAACCTGAGAAAGTATGAGTGTCCAGACTGCGGGATGTCGTTCATCAGGCGAACGCGACTAATCAGTCACCTGAGAGTGCACCGGTCCAAAAGGCTCCAACAGCTGCCTAAATGTGATCAATGCAACAAAGTCTTCATGTCTGGTAAGTCATGGGCATCTCATGTTGAGCTGCACAGAGAGAGGCGTTTCTGGTGTCTGAGCTGTGCTCAAGGCTTCACGACTGAATTGCTACTCGACAAACACCTGCAGAACCACAACGCTGATGACCAGGGCATCCAGAACGCTAAACCACTCCGGAGTCCTCCAAAACCACAACCTAGAAATATGACTTTTCACTGTGTACACTGTGGAAAGGGGTACTGGCGCTCTAAAAGACTGTTCCGTCACAAACTAAAGCATCATTACAGATATTATGACAGGGATGCCAATAAGCGTCCAGGGGGTGCTGGGTTGAGTGACAATATAGGAGATGAGAAAAAGGAATTATCACCTGCAAATGAAAAAGAACAAGTGGAGGAGGTGCAGGTGAAGGAAGAAGACATGCAGACTGAGGGTGAGAGTATACATCCAGAGGCAGAGGATAAGGAAGACTCTGAGGATTCTGACTGTGGAGAACCTGGGCATGGCTACAATTTTGCAGAACATCGACACTCTGAGGACCAGCTGGACCAACCGAAATTGGAAGCTGTGCAGTCACCACCAGGAAGGAACCTGGAGAGTCCAGAGACAAAGCTGTGCAGAGAGCATAAGTACTGGGAATGGGAGTGCATCGAATGCGATATGGGCTTTGATGAAATGATAAAGCTGCACTCGCATTATGTAAAACATGCAACAGGGGAGTTGCCCATAGTGAAGGTAGAAATTGTGGGTTGAAACTTTACTGTATGATTTTTTTTTTTTTTTTTTTACAAAAAACTGTCTTTCAAAGTGTTTGTCCAAGGGGGATAACATTGTTTTTTAGATAAGTTAGTTTGTTATGAAGGACTGACTAAGAGGAAGGCAGAAAGCAGCTGCAAAATGAATCAGCCATGTATTTTTAAAACCAAATAAAATCATCTCATACAAGTTTGAGAGTTCACTGCAGACTTTTTATCTATATAAATGTGTTATTACTCATAAATTTAGTAACTCTTCATGTTTACCTTTGCGAGTTAACTTCAAGCACATTTGCTCTTCAGCTTTTTGGGGATGCATGAACTTTTTTAAAATTACAAACAAAAATTAGGTGTGGAGTTTTAGTAGACTTTTATTCAATTGGCATGTGTTTACAAACCTGTACATAGTTACCAGGTTTCTTTACAAACAAACGTTTGAAATTTATCAATTTATATTCATCCCCATGCATCAATACTAAGATGTAAGTCTTATGGGGAAGGTTTCTACTGGTTTGTTCTCCCTGTTCATGCTTCTCTCTGGGTACTCAAGCTTCCTCCAACAGTACAAAAAACATGCCTGTTAGCATCTCTAAATTGTCCTTAGGTGTGTATGCATAGTTGTATGTCTTTGTGTTCCTCAGTGTTGCCCTGCGATATACTGGTGGCCTGTCCAGGATGTACCCTGCCTTTCACCTATAGCCTGCTGGAGATGGGCACAAGCTGTGACCCTGGTGGATTTTTTTATTTATTTTTTTTAACCAGGAAAAAAAATCCCATTGAGACTTAAAACCTCTCTTTCAAGGGAGTCCTGGCCAAGAGGCATAAAAGGTACATAAGAAACATAGATGCATTAAAATAAATGACAGGTACTTAAAAAACAGATCATTGAGACTGCTTGAAATTCACTTTCAACTTAAAAGCATTTAAAGATTAAAAACTCAGTCAACTTCCAGTTTCTTTGTAAAAAATTCCACGCACAAGGAGCTGCGGCAAAAGGAACAGTTAGCAACAGCTGATCGTTGGATCTCAGGGCAGAAGAAGCCATGCTTTTCTCTGCAAGTAAGGTACAAATGTAAGAGGGCAGTAATCCAAGAAGGGCCTATAAATAAAATTGTACCAATGACACTGCCTTCTCATAGAGAGGGAAGGCCATCCCACCTGAGAGTACAGGTCACAGTGATGTGTCATGGCTGGCTCTACAGTTTTATTTGAGGTAGCGGAGTAGGGGAGATCAGTTTTTGCTGTGACGCTAATATCGGAGTAAGAATTATTTTATGGTGCCTTGTGCTGGCTCAAACAAATGTTTTAAAGTTCAGTTAATTACTGTTAAATGCAGCTATTACAAGACATCCCAGGTAGGCTTCCCTAAATTTAAATTTCATTAAAAAAACAACAGCTATTTTAAATGTGTGGATTTTTTTGTAAAGGATAGTGGATTTAGCACAAATAATCCTTACAGATAAAACAAGGTTAGGGAAATCACGTCCCATCGGCGTTTAGTAACTTAGAAAAAAGAAACTGCATATCCCATGATTCCCGCCTGCGCGTCCCTTGTCCTAAGTGACGTCACGCGGTCCGCATCTGCTCCGTTGCGGCTTTGTGAGGAGCGTCGCAGAGATGTTTGGGCGTTCAACCCAGGCCAGGTAAGGTATCTGTGCATCCTGCTACTTCATGTGATTCCGAAACAGGAAGAAGAGCTAAACTAGAGCACATTTAGCATCTCAGAGTAGCAGAACGAGGAGGTGGTGATTTGCTCTGTGATTTTAACCCAGCATGTGCAGGAGGCTAACGGGGCTATTGTTATTTGTGTATCCCATAAGACTGTGAATAGGTTTATCAGGAAAGCTCTTAGTATACTAAGTAGTTGTAGTAAAAACAAAAAAAATAAATAAACTGAAGTGTTTTATGTTGTTAGACTGTCTTCATCAGCTGCCCTACATATCTACCCATGAGCTATTGTTATTCAAATGTTTTAGCCCAGCTGCCCCTGTTTTCTGGGGGAGGGGGGTTACCTTCTGCTATACATACAATTCTATTGCATTTAAATCTGCTTCTTTTTTTCTTCTCTTAAGGAGCTGATTTCACTTTTGCATATAAGAAGGTGAGAACCAAAAAGCCATGCAGAGTTCACCAGAGGACCACACTGAATCAAACCCTGTGGCTATATCGGCTGCAGAGGATCAACTAGAAACTGGGGCCCAAACAATGCAAAGCAAACCAGATGAACAAGAGCTGGAGGACCAATCAGAGGCCCCTGCTGAGGCCACAGCAGAGGCACCTGGAAGTATGGTCCCAACTCCACCCTTGGAGAAGGAGTCTGTTGTCCCCTCGCCTACAGAGTCCTGTGAAAATAGGGAAAAGTTGGACACAGACTCTTCTGCAAAGTCCAGCGACCAGCCAAAATCGGTTGCTGAAACTGATGCAAGCCCTGGAAATGATGTGAATAAAGAACAGAAACGAGGAAAAGGTGCAAGTGATGGCAGGAAATTTCCTTCTAAGAAAGCCATGATTGATCCTCTGAAGATGGACATGTCAAAACCTGTGGTCACGCCTTTAACGTGTAAGTGCTTTACCTACCTATATAAAGCTTACACTTGTTTAAATTTTGGAAGATTTGTTGATTAGTTATTTATTTATGTTCTTACTTGCCGTTTAGAAGCATTGTTTCTAATTTGAGAGGGGGGGAAGTGGTCCTAAATGCTAATGATCTTTAGATTAGCCACCAAACTGAGGTGCATCTTTCAGTCAGCCAGAGTTTCACCAGATATCAATACTATCAATAATAATATCAATCACAATTTAGTAATTGTAGTATTATAATATTTTGGAAGCTGTAATCAATTAGTTTAAATGAAGCTTTGGATTAGAATATATTTTATTTGTGCCTTCAGGGAAATTTTTTTTAAAGTTTTTATAGATTCTATGCATAGGGGTTGCGTGATAAGCATTTGTGAACATGGTATGGTTTAGTAAAAACCTTCTCAAATTAGACTTTCAGGGACTGTATGTCAAAACATACATCTTTACTTGAAAGAGCTTCAATAAAACTTCAAATATTGTCAGAATTATGTATGTAAACAAGGAACTAAGACTATGTGTATGTTCTAATTTTTAAAATAAACAATACCTAAAAAAAAAGACAAGACATTTTTTTCCTAGTTTTACTTTTTATAATCAGTAAATTTATGTATTATAGTCCTTTTAACCAGTCCTTTCATTACTGCATAGTACATGTTCTCTATTAAAACAGCCACAGTCATGTGAAGATTAAAATCTGTTTCAAATGTTTTGCTCTGAGGATGTCCTCATTCTCTTCTTTGAGATGTTATGTGCTAAAAAGAAAAAAGTAAACAAAGCTACAATTTCCAACTTAAAGGGGAACACCTTTTTTTTTTTTTTACATTGGGCCCTTGATTTTATGTTATTACATCATGTTCTACTCACCCATATGAGTTTTGTGTCATTTTGAGCTGTTCTAAAGATATTCCGTTAGGTTATATCCAAGTAACGTCTTCCTATGAGGAAAAATACTTGAAGCACAAACTAAACTGTTCATAATTTATTATTTATGATAATGCAGCATTTATAACATGTAGGCGAATCGCTGTCCCCCAGACATCCGCGGTTATATTTTTTATATTTATATTTTTATATTTTTTATATTTATATAACTGCTGCTAGTTTTACTCACGTGATGTCTAGTGCTACTAACACAGATAATGGTAGATTATAACATCTCCTTCTGCAAACTTGCTGCGTGCACTTAGCTAGCGTAGCCGCCTGTCGCCCAGGCGGCCTGTCACAACTCCAGTCCGGCTCGCGGATGACGTCATACACATGCCGCTTTGTTTTAAAAAAATATAAATATAAAAAATATAACCGCGGATGTCTGGGGGACAGTGATTCGCCTACATGTTATTAAAGCTGCCGTACCATAAAGAACACATTATGAACAGTTCAGTTTGTGCCCTCAACTCGTTGCCCATAGGAAGATGTTACTGGGATATAACGGAATATCTTCAGGTAACAGAGTACATCTCAGATTAAATACTACTTCAGCGATAGTATCTAGGTGATCACTTTATTGTATGTCTCGTACCATGTCTGTTTGTTGTGCTGTTCTTTTTACATCTCTTTGCAGGTGATGAAGCAGACTGAAAATGTTTTATCATTATCTCCCTTTTATTTTCTATTTCTTTAATTTTTTCTCCTTTTTTTCTGTTTTTCCTCTTCTGTTCTATTTACATTGCAGTGTCCATATAATCTGTAAAACTCCCTGCATAATTATGATAAATTGCAATTTATATGCATGAAACACTATGGCAATAACCCTACTCCTCCACTTGTGAAAGTACAATCTGTTGGGCTCTTTTTGGCATCAAGACAATTATTCTTATTGCCAACAGACGACACTGTTTAAAAAAAATGATGTAATAACGTAAAATCAACCAATGTAAAAAAAAAAAAAAAACGGTGTTCCCCTTTAACAATCAAAAACTGTGTTTTAGAAGTATTGCTGGTTCTTTAAGTATCATTCTATAATTTCTAAAAAATAACCTTAAAAATGCATAAACTGTTTTAATGCAGCTACAATTATTATTTAAAATTATAAGGTTGGTTTTTCTTTAAAATTAAAAAGGTTTAAAATACTGGTGAAATGTATCTTTCTGACTCCTGTGATATGTCCCTGCAGCGCCTCAGCTCTCTCTACACTGCATCCAGTGCCACATAATATTCAGCGATTTTAAAAGCAAAGAGCGGCACCTGAAGAGCACCCACCCTGCCGAGTACGAGCAGTACATCCTGAGGAACTCGCTTTTTGCCTGTTACGTTTGCGACCGCCATTTCACAAACTCAGTGGAACTCTTGGCCCACCAGAAGGCCCACACTGACAAGAGACCCTTCAAGTGTCCACTCTGCAATCAGTCCTTCAAGAAGACGTCAGAGCTTACAAATCATAAAAAGAGTCACTTCAACCAGAACGGGTATCCCTGCTCTGGGTGTGGAAAGTCTTGCAAGACGCTGACATTGCTGAAGTACCACCAGCGTACACACTCAGGAGAGAAGCCTTACGTTTGCAAGGAGTGTGGAAAGAGGTTCCCCCTATCCAGCCTTCTGCATAAGCATATTTTATCACATTCATCAGAGGGAGGCGAAGGAGGTATAAGCATCCACTAATTCTAAAAATGATGTTTTGACATACCGTATATATGTTTTCATTGCATATTTTGAGGCCATACTGGGAACAGATAGAAGTAATTTTGTGATTCTTAAATGACATACCTCTTATTTGTTCTCCTTAAGGTGCTCCTGCCAAAGTTTACCTTTGTCCTGTTTGCAACGCCTCCTTCAGGAGTCCCAAATCGCGGCAGCTTCATGTTAAAATAAGGCACAAACTTGATCCAGTCAGTAACCCCATGCAGACTGGGCTGCAGGTGAAACAAAGCATGCCTATTATAACTCCAATATCTATTTCTCAACCGACGCTATTGCAAGTAGAGCCAAACGGACCTCTGCAAAAGGTCGATGCCAATGTTGACACAGAAAATATCCGGAAACTTATTGAGTCATTGGGAAATGTGCACAAAGTAAATCAGGTTGTTATACTGGGGCAGGTGCCACCACATGCCCCGCCACTGAAGGTACAGCAGGTGTTGGAACCAGCAGAAAAGGTTGATTTGAATCTGGGTCCACCGCAGATAGATTTTATTGGACTAAAACCGACAGAATCTAAGTTGGTTGAGCTAGATGCTTCGGTCAGTCCATTGGAACAAACTATTATATTGGAGCCTATTACTCCAGAAGGAACGCCGGAAAACCCTTCCTTCTCAGATCTCGGCTCCCAAGTAGTTGCAGGAGAACCCCTAGAGCTAAAATTTGTTCAAGCTGAACAGACTGAAAAACTCACAGGAGAAACGCATCTAAATCTTCATCAGTCACAGATGAATCCAATGAATACTGACCCTGGTGTTTGTATGAATGAGGGAACTGATCTCAAGCAAGACCTTGAGCAAACTGTCATATTAGAACTAATACCTGCTGCAGAGCTGGAACAGTCTCAAATTGAGCCACAAAATGAGGTAGGCTCCTCTTCTTTTGTTCAAAGCAGTGAGCAGGAAATTCCTGATCAAGCTGCAGGTAATACTGCTGGAGAGCCAGAAGAGACCAATATGCCAATCCCACCACTCACACCCACAGTTGAGTCAGAACTCCCATCTCCTCACCCGGAAAAAGAGGACCTATCTTCTTGCCCTTCTGATCCACCAGAAACAATCACACAAGAGCCAAGTAATTCCGAAACTACCTTGCAGGAAAACACAAATTCACGTGAAGAAAGGGTAGATTCAGGTCAGTCTCCTGTGTCTAATGAAAAGCCAAAAGAAAAGGAGGAACAGGAGGCTTGTGAAAAAGATCCAGTGGAAGAGAAACGTAGCTCATCCGAAGACCCTGCTGCTAAAGAGGAGACTCCTTCAAAATCAGAGGCCAAAGAGGATCAGCGAACCTCTGAGTTGCCTGTAAGTGTAATGTCAGCCCAAGAGTTAGTAAAGGTGCGGAAAAGAAAACCAGCAAGGACGTTTTTTTTTCAAGGATATATGCATGATCTTGTTGGATCCATATACAGGGACGACTTTCTCATTGATGCCAAGCCTGCCAAGCGCCAGCGGACCAAGAAGTCTTGTGTTGTTGTGAAATTTGGATCACAGGGCAAAGACAAGAAATCCAAAAAACAGAAGGCCAAACAAGAACATAAGCCGATACAGGAAAGTTCGCCAAAAAGTAAAACATCCCCTAAAAAACTATCAGAGAAGGTACAGAAAGTGCAAATACAGAAGAAGCCAGAACAAGAACCCCAGCCGATACATGACAGTAGTAAAACACCTCCAAAGAAATCACCAGAGAAAGTACAGAAAGTACAAACACCGAAGAAGACGGGAAAGGGGAAAAAGGAGAAGACGGAGAACATGGCATCTGGAATGGACATGAAATTGCCTGAACCCCAAAGCACACACACAAAGCAAGTGAAAGAAGTTCCAAAAAAGAATAAAATGAAAAAGCAGAAAGAAAGCAAGGGAGAAGCAGAGCATGTTGGTGAGCAGAACGCTGAGACCCAGCCAATGCTTAAGAAGAAAAAAGCAGCAAACGTATTGCCAAAAGGTCCGCCCAAGAGTCCCAAGGGAAAGAAAACCTTATCCAAAGCACAAAAAGTGAAAAAAGCTGAAGCCACTGATTCAAACATTAATCAAGACTCTCTTCTTTTACTGAAAGGTCATAAGCAGCCTCAGTTAAAGGTGTACAAGTTAGACACTTCAAAGCCATCAGGCCCGACTCCGGAGGGTTCAGTTAAGGACTCCCAGTCCACTGATGATGTCACAGCAAGGGGCAAGAAAAAAGGCACAAAAAAGCAGAAAAGCATTAATTGTCTTTCCCTGCTGTCCTCACTAAAAGGTCCACGTCAACAGCCGGAAATAGTACCATCCAAGCCAAAGACCACCAGGAAGCGTAAAGCCCCTTTGAATGTGGAAACTGAAGGAGTGATCACTTCAAAGCGTGCCTTGGAATGTAAAGACTGTGGGGAGAAATTCAGCGAAGTTGCGTCACTTCAAAAGCACAAGACTACAGCACACATCATTGAAAGTCCTGGCCTCACATATACCAATGGAAACATCTTTGAGGGCGTCTCTGGGTTCGATCTTTACCGGCTTCCTAAAGAGCATGGAGGGGTTGTTAGGGTGATGAATGCTCCCACAGACTGGGATACTGAACCGGAGATGGGAGACATGTCGCTGGAAGACCGTGATCGAGGTGTCTCCTTTCCTGCTTTAATTCCATCTCCATCTCTACAAATCCCACCTCAGGATGTTGAAATGAGTACTCATGAGCACAGAAATGAAAGTAAAACTGGGACAGAAGTTCACCTTGGTACGTCCTGTACACCTGAGTGCTTCTCTAGAGACACCAAACAGATTGCAATAGCTGAAACCTCTTTCCCAAACTTGACTGAGACAAGAACATCTGAAACAGTAGAACCTGTGGCATCAGATGAGAAAATGCAAGAAGATCCCAATAAAAACCTCAGCAATGGATCTAGAGTTCAAGGAATGACAGATGAGGATGTTAAGGAAGATTTCCTTCTAGAGGTAGATTTGGTCACTATTGGAGAGCAGGAGGAGAAAGAGGAACCCATACTCCTAAATGAACCCAACAGTGTCCAGATGACTAAAAGTGGAATCGCTGACAAGGACTGTGAGCAAGGCAGAAATGAGACAAGAAGGACTTGTCCAACACCACAGACTGTGTCATGCGCTACCTATTGTCTGGATGTCAAAGAAGAAGAGGAAGAAATGCTGGTCCAGAAGAGAAAGGAGGCAGTGATGGGTCAGATCAGAAAAGAAGGACTTCTCAACAGGGATTTGACCACAAAAGCAAACTCGGGTAAAGAACAAGAGCAGGGACCAGATGAATGCCAGATAGTTTATGAAAAACCTCCGCTTTTCTCTGATTTGGAGACGGTTGACCATGAGGTTAGCACAAAGAAGCAGACTGGTCCTAAGTTAAAGACAAAATGTACACCATCCGCTACATCTTTGCCTTCTGGCCATGCAGTGGTTGAAGAATCCTCTCAAGAAGCTATTGCATTGGAGCCTAGCTCTAATGTTAAGGATGCAATTATTGATGGAGGGCTGGAGGGAGAAGAGGAGAGGGAGAGTGACCAGTCTCCGGGTATCATCCTTGAGAGGTTCCCCACCTCTGGGCGAGGAGCAACAGCCGACAGTGTGACAGATCTGGCCACAAGAAGGAGCAGCCAACCACAGGTGACTGCTTGGTTCATGTACCTTTTTAAAGACCATGAAGGACTGGACTTTACCTGTGTTTATATTTCAATGTTTATGTTTATACCAGGCTTTGGGCGGCATTGCTGACAACGGGGTTCAAGTTCCCAGAGGCCAAGAGATCAAGGTTGAAGAGAACAGCTCAGATCCTCTGCTAGTTCTTCCCACCTGTCAAAGCAGGCAGAACTCGTGTGGTCCGCCGAAGCATCAGCAAGGTATAAGAAGCATCCTAGTGAAAGAGGAAAGAAACTCTGTGGTGAACGACACCCAGAGTGTGCAAGAAAGTCGCCACATGAAATGGAATGAGGAACCAGTAAGCTGTAAAGACATCAATATGCGTCGTAAGTCTAAGCCTGCATTGGGCTTCATTAGGTTTCATTGAATCAGAACAAAACTGATGCTCGGAATAAGAAGCTAAAGTTTCCACTTAGAGACCATAGCTATAAGTTCCACCAAATGTTTTGGTCCATCTTTTCTTTCTTTATATCATCTTATCTCTCTTTTTTCTTCATTATGCTCCTCTTGCTTGTCTTTCTCTCATCTTATGTCCTACCCCCTAACCTCTGCTCCTCCATTCTTTTTCTTCTGCCATCTTTCCATAGTAGGCTTTAGTATTTTATGTTTAAAGTGAAGGAAAAGAATGAAGAACCCTGAAAAGTAGATTTAGGCATTTCTACATGGAAGATTTGTAGGAATCATGCAATGTCACTACACCAGGAGCCCATACTTAGAGAAAAGGGTAACTACTACATGTTGTCATTTGAATGCTTAAAAGAGTTTACATTTGGGATTTTTTTAGCCAGGTTTATGCAAATCAAAATAGTCCTATATATATCATGTGTTGTTTTTAAATTTTTTGGAACATTTGATTCTTCCAAGGAGAATGTAGCTCTTCAGGATGTTGTTCTTAAATACAGAGGCCAATTGTTTTTCTAGCAGTCCAGGATTATGAAATATATTTAAAACTGTACATTCAAAAAAGTAATTTTATTTGTAGAATGTACTTAATCCCATTAGTTTAAAATAATTACACACCAAGTACAGATAAATATTAAGATTTTATGCCAGTATCTAATTTGTATTGGATTATCCAACTTTCAGACTTACATTTTAACTTTAGCTCTACTTACAAACCAAGAGCTTTACCAGTGCATTTTCTTCTTAAAACCTATGTAATAAGATCTGTATTGAGAAATTCACAAACATTTTTTATCTCTTCAGTAAAGGAGAATGAAGAAACAACAAAGGACTGCTGTAAGACTCCGGACTTCAATTCCAACCCTTGTATCTTTTACCCGGTAAAGGAGGAGGTGAGGGAGGTTCTGCTGTCAGCCACCCAAACCCACACCAGAACTTCAACCCCTGATGGTTCAGGTGATTCAAATCCCACCGACCACAAGAGTACAGATTGTAATGCCCGTAAGTATCTGCTTTGACAATGCTGACATTTCCTATGTCCTATGTCAATACTGAACCCCATTAAACAGATGATAGAAGGTCGTCACCACAGAGCAATCAGGAGTCTGAAGTCGCATGTCTCGCATCGGAGCAAAGTGTCAGTGACTTGACAGATGGACAAGGTTTGTAAACTTTCCAGTCTGTTGCAAGTTGTTTTTTGGGATTTCTCACAAAAAAATATTTATTATATATTAATATATATTTATTATTATTTCAGCTGCATCAGACTCTGAGTGGCAGACTCGATCGGATCTCTGCGACTTCCTCCTCCAGAGTTCAGATGACGAAGACACGGGTAGTTTGGAGTTATCAGAGCCTCAGCTGAACAAGGAAGCAGAAATTCTAGCTTACTTCAACCAGAACCAGAGCAGAATCAAAAAGCTGTCACCTCGACCCTCTTCAGTGTACAGTAACTCTTTATTTTGTAATGAAATGGAAAACAATCAGAACTTCTATTGATTTTATTTTGTAGTTCTGCCCTACTGTTCATAGTTAGAAGCAGCAGGTTTTATATGAGATAATGGATTCACACCCATTAATGTGTCCAAATTTGTTTTCTGTCTCCAGGGGTTTGCCAGATTCACCTGGGCCTCAACCAGTCCCACGTGATGACAGCAGGATAGAAAAGGCTATTGATTACTTTTGTGAATATTTCAGTTGGGATACATGGGTAGAAATTGCCAATTACACAAATAAACTTTCCAAGAATCAAAATCCGGTGACATGCAGAGAGGTTGCACGCTTCATTGGGATCCACATTGCAATGGGAACCTTAAAGGTGTGTGCTTTATTTCATTAAATTCACAGTGGCAGTAGCTGTTGCATATTTCACCTCTAATAAGTTATGCTCTAATGGTTTGTTGTTTCTTTTTAGTTTCCCAGTGCGAGGCTCTACTGGGACGACCTAACAAAGTTGCCGTTGATAGCTGAAGCCATGCCGCTAAACCGATTTCTGGAGCTTTCTCGCATGTTGAAGCTCTGTTCTTCAAATGATACCAAAGGACCCAACACTGCTCAGGAGCTGGGTGGTATTCACCAAAGCAGTGAAAGTTTAGGTTCTGATCACAGTGGCGCTGGGTGCTCAGCTGATCCCATAAGTTTGCAAACGCCGGTTGATCCGCTGTGGAAGGTTCGTCCATTATTGTATCGTTTCAACACAGGATGCCGTTCACTCAGGCAGCAGGGAGATTATGCTGTGGACCAGTACACAGTAGCTCTGACTGGGAAAGTAAACGAAAGCAGTCCATCTCTCCATTGCACCACGTTAATTGGCCTTAATGGCTTAATTACACACGTGGATCTTGAACTGGATCTTTCAGAGAAACAAGATTCAGTAGAAAAAATGATCCCTAAAGGGAGTACGGTGTTCCTCTGCAAACAGGAGCTCTCCACCCCCGCCATGCTGGAGCACCTTTTAGCTGCTGGGATCCACGGAGCTGGCAGGGTGGAAGGAGAGCGTGGACAGGTTGGTGACGAGTTTGTGAGCTCTGATGGGAAGTTGATGTTGCGCAGAACGCAGTGCGGCTTCTTACTTTCTACCGCAGGGAAGGGTCAGCGGGACATGGTCTCACTCATTGACGGCTACGAAAAGGCTCAGATGTCGGCGCGTCTCAGCAGAGATTTGCTAAATCTTTATTCTTCTCCTCTCACCGTGTCTTCACCTACCTGCTGGCCCCAAGCGGTGCTATGGCACCTCATTGACGCGGCGCTGGTGAACTCCTGGCTCCTGTACCGGCAGGACCACAGAGCAGCGTCTGCCCCGCTGACATTAATGGCCTTCAGACTGGAGGTGTCCAAAGCTTTGATTCTCTCCAGCGGCTCTGACACCCAGGATTCCATTCCCCCTCAGCCTCCCGGGGAGAACGCTCACCACGCAACTAGTGAAACTCCAAGTCCGGTCCTGCTCAATGAGAGTCCTCTTCCAGAAGCAGCAACACGGTATGACGGATCTGGCCATTGGCCTGAGCAGCTTTCAGAGGGAGAAGGAGGCAGGTGTCGCTTTGGGGGCTGCCAGAGAACATCGCGAGTGCTGTGCCTTAAGTGCTGCGTCTTTCTTTGTATCTCACGAAACCATAACTGCTTTTTAAATTTCCATAATCAAGAGAGTGTGGGAGAGGAGCACTAATACTGAGATGTCTCTGTCTTTTTAAATGGGCTGCTTTCTGATATAGAAAGTACACTTGATGTTTGTAAAATCTGCTCCTCCATCCTTACATTTTTACAGCATACCTTGTACTGGCAGTGCCATGACTTTATTGGACTGTTGATGTTCCATTTAAATAACTGTCTTGTTAGAGCTCATAAATTTACTTGCCAATTGTAAATTGATAATTGTAATTGGATTGACATTTTAGAAAAATGAAATGAACCATAAACTGTGTTGCAAAAACAATTTCTATTGTATTTGTTGTATTTTTCACATGAACTACTTTTCATTCCATGATGAACTTATTTTCAATTCCATAAAGTGCAGTGTTATTTATTTCACGTTGAAAAAATAAAGTTTAATGGAGTGAGTGGCTGTGTCTTTATTTCGGGTTTCTAACATTTAAACAGCAAAATGTACAAAATTTTAATGTAAAATGCTCTTAATTCACTGCAGTTACACATTCAAAGGCAGCAAGAAGCAAATATCCAAGCTTTGGGTTTTAAAAATGATACTTTATTCTCTAGCAGAGGCAATATGCCTCAACTAGTTGTAGCTATATGATCATCTCAGACATGTTGAGGAAAAACTGAATCAAAGTATTGGGATAAATGTGTATTATATTTTATTTGGGCTTTGAATAAAAAGAGGCTGGCTGCCTATGACTACTTTCCATAAATATGCTTTGATCCAGCACTTTTTTATGTTCCTTTTGCAGTCAAAGATCAATATGTGCAGTGAAATGCTTTACATGCTTTCATAAGTTGGTGATTGGGGTGTAGTGCTGTTCGCTGGGGATGCTGTAAGACAGAAGAACAGGGAGCTTCTGGATAAACTTCTCGATTCTGGAAGTGTCGGTGAAAATGCTGCCGGAGGATAGAACAGATCATCTGACAGGGCTGCTGACGGTATATAGAGATGTTGCTAAAAACACTGTTTTTCGGTGTATACTATTTAACATGGCTTCCAGTTCTTTATTTAAAATTTTTTTTTTTTACTTCGTGTTTAAATTGATTTGATTTATGCTATTTAGAATATATATAAAAAAAATATCTTTATTGTTCCACAATGGGGAAATTGATGTGTTAACAGCAGCAAGGGATATAGTAGAAGTGGTCACACAATGTGCACCTTAGAAAAATTTATAAAAAATACAGATAGGAAAATTAAACAAATATAGTATTGTACTGTACAGTGGTTTTTTTCAGCTCCATTGAGCCATAGTCATCAGAAGGTACTGCACAAACACTTCTGTACATGCACCGTGCTGTAATGAATCCCCATAAAAAGGCATTTAACTTTTTAAATAGAAATACTGAAATGATTTAGCGATGTGATTCAAACTAATGTGGATACAACCTTAAAAAAAGTGCAATAATTTTATCGCTTACATCTAATGTGATAACTGTGAGTTTTGCACTTTCCAATGCTTAATTTGTTCTAGGCTGCATTTATTACCAGACGTGCTATCAGTTTTAAACATAAAGAGAGAAACCTTGTGTATACAAGTCGAAATTTCATTTTGTAAAGCTTTCATGACTTTATATATCTTAAAGTGCAACAGTAAAATAGAAAAATCTTAGAAGAAAAAGAAAAAAACTGATTTTGTATGCTTGTGACAAAACATAATTGAAACTGTCCAACTAGCTGGTTTAAAATGTACGGAAGAGGATTAGGGTCACTGAAATTTTTTTTTAAAAAGTTAACTGGTTTGTAGAATCCTGACTTTAATCTCAGAATTCTGACTTTTTTCCCAGAATTCCGAGTTTTTTCTCAGAATTCTAACTTTTTTCTCAGAATTCTGATATTACAGTCAGAATTCTGAGAAAAAAAGTTAGAATTCTGAGAAAAAATTCAGAATTATGACTAAAATCTCAGAATTCTGACTATAATCTTTGAATTCTGATCACTAACAAACATTTTAGCATCAAGCCGTAGCCATGTCTGTTTTAGAGACTAAACCAGCTCTCTTGTTTTAATCACCTTCTGCTCTTCCATGAATGAAATGGCATCCCCAGGGACCCATTGGGCACTTAAAAAGTCGCCTAATTCCACTAATTTTCCACCAATGTGTTACTGTTCTTTTCAAATAACTAATGTCTTTGTCAGTGTAGCTGAGTGCTCCCACATCTCTTCCTTCATTTTGCCCATCTACATTAAGATCCAAAATTCTGAGATTAAAGTCAGAATTCTGAGAAAAAAAGTCAGAATTCTGACTTTTTTCCCCATATTAAACTGAAATATTTAAAAATCAGTTTACTTTTTTTTCCTTCAGTGGCCCTATTCGTCTTCCGTAAAAATATGACAGGACAAGAAAGTTGCTCTTGTTTTACAATATACATAAAAAAGACACTTGTTGCCATTGTAAAAATTCAAAACAAGTCAATCCAACATTTTACTTTAAAGTTTAAATTATTTGTAAGCATCAGCAATCATCTAAACTATCTGAAAAATAAATGTAAGCAGTACTGTGTATTGATAGTTTTGCATATAAATTTAAAAAAAATCAAATAACCCTACTTTTTTATTTGTTTGGTCACGTGACTAAGATCAGCCATAGATAAGCATAACATAGAGACAAATTTGTGTAAATTTGCAGTTTTCCCAAAATCTAGGCAAAACATATTTCCTTGTGCATTTGTTCCATTTACAATTCAGTATAGTAGCTACACTAATATGTTTTAATAGAATATATATAGAAGGAATTTACTGCTGCTCTGCACAAAATATGTATTTGTTTTAAATCAGTGATGTGCGATCCAATTTGGTCTCTACAGGCATAGAAAAAACGGCCTAAAGCTATATAAACCGGAACTTTCCAGTAATTTGTGTTTTGAGGATTTATTTAATAGTAATCAAACAGTGACCACATTGAAGGGTCTGGGCGGCGGCCATCTTGACTGTCCCCATCACCACCGACAAGCCTCAGCAGGAAGTGCGCGATCTATCTCCTGTAATTCTAGGGTCAACTCAAACTAGCCTGAAAGAGCGGCTCGAGGTAACGTCCTGTTGTTTTTAGCATAATTATCTTGTTCATATATTTGTATAACTTCGCTGTATTCTAATATTATACTTTCAAATGGCGATTTGCGTGTAATCGGCGTGTAAACATAAGTAGAAACTAAGCGCTCGGATGGACGCGAAGTCTGCGGTTCTTTTTTTTGAATGGCAGAAGTAGCGTTAGCATTAACTAGCTGCCGTTAACCCGCTCAACTAGTCATACCACTTTGTTTCCATCATGAGCTTAAACCAGACAGCTCACGTTAAAGCGAAGTTAACCGATGAACGAGCTGAATCATTTTAATAGCTAGGATATAATAGGAAATATTTGAAAACATATGTTTCTATATATAACAGAACGGTACAGCTGCATGAAGCTAGCTAGCTAGCATAGCGCGTGGCCTTAGCCTTACGTTCAACGTCAGGTACAACTCACAGGCAGTCCGATTTTGATGCTAAATATCGGATTATAAGTGTTTTAGAATCTTTTTAGACTTATTATTTTGGGTTTTAATTGATTAATATAATCTCAATTTAATTATTTTGCCGTTTTTTTATATTCAAAACTTATCTTACAGTTAATATCGTGATAATGTAAGTCAGCTTATTTATTGTTTTTGAAATATTTATTTCTTTTTATGTTATTTTAACCCAGAAAGGTTGTATCGCAGCAGTAGGATGGACTCAGACATTTTGAACATAGAGGAGATAGTGATGGGAAGAGGGTTGCCAGATCCGCCACCAGAAGCTCCCCCTCAAAAGCCAACAGAGCCATACAAACCCAGCATTCAGAATGGACCTCCTGCTCCCTCCATCCAGCCCTGTAAGTAAAGAGGCGCAGTTTGATCTGAGTTTTTAAGCACAAACACAACCCTAATCTCGTCTCTGTTCTCTTTCAGACCAGCATGAGAACCTGCAGTGCTTCCAGTGCTTCATTACCTTCTGCAATGCCAAAGCAAAGGAGAGACACATGAAGAAGAGTCACAGGGAGGAATACAAACAGCAGCTTCAGCAGGTACGTGTGATTGACCCCCAAATTCCACATCCTCTGTCACCGCTCCGCTTACGTACGTCATTCGGAGCACTTGTGAAGTCATGTTAATCGAGGAGAACTGTTCCACATCCACCGCTACTCCTCCGCACATCACCGTCCATGTACCGCTTCTCCGTCCTTCACCGTCAAAATATGGAGCCGAGCTACTTTTTTGCTCCGGTCCGGCCAGGTTAGGATCCGCTATTGTAATTGCACCTAACAGGAAAAAGAACGGCAAGAAGATCTGGTTTGTCAAATTAAAATATTTTAACAACAGATCAGTAACTGGAAATAAGAGCATAATTCTTATATATTCCCAAAACTAACACCGTTTATTTAAATTATTGGATGTAAACTATTGGTATTTCAGCATACTAGGGAGCAAATTATGCATCTCAATCAAAATATTTATTTTATACAGAGAGGCTTAAAAGTTTTATCAAATCCAGTCACAACAACTTTCACGAGTACATCTTACAACCTTTTGTTGATGAGGAGATGCTGAATTTGGAAGTAGGGAACAAACAAATTTTGTATGATCCCAATTATCCCTATAACAAAGACCCACAATGAAAATAAATGTTTTGGCAGAAACGTTGATGGTGAGTTTTTAATTAGGTCATGTTGAATTAATCGTAATTTCTGAGTCTTTTGCTCCTACGAGTTTAATAATAATATTGCACCTGCTCTCCTCAAACTCCGGGGAAGTCGGAGGAAGCAACCTGGCCAGAGACTGTTGTTGTAGAACGGACCGTTGTTTGTGATTGGTTGAGGTTACTCATTGATTTCTGACTGTAGCTGGGACCATTTTAGTTTCACTTCCAGACCTTCTATTTCACTGCTTGCTAAGCAGCTGTGGGGAGATCTTTAGGCCACATGGTAAAGAAATGCATCAGAAAATATCTCCTACTGCACCTTTTAAGTGATAATTCATTATTGTTATGACATTGAATTTTTTTTAAATAACTAAAAGGAAAATGATGTATTTATCATAATTGCTTTTGAATGAGAAAGGCAGATGGTCTCATTGGTTTGTCATTTATTTGAAGCTCTTTTGAAATGTATATTTGAGTTTATATTTGCCAGTGTTTGAAACTTTGAATTCTATTATACATTTTATTCAAGTTGAATCTTTTTTTCAATCTATTTAGGGACATATTTGTTTGTCTGTGGGGAATGAAAGGAAGTTCAGTTGTTTTGTATGTTTTCTCTACTCAGGGCAACACGCTGTTTACGTGCTACGTGTGTGACCGCACCTTTCATTCGTCTGAGGAACTAACGCAGCATCAGCCGACGCACAGCAATGATGACAAGCCTTTTAAATGTGCTTACTGCAAGGAGAGCTTCAAAACGTTCTCTGAGGTAAGAAACTTTATTTAAAATCACTCTCCTCAACATGATAGTCGACAACATTTGAAAGGAAGTTTCTGTTTAAAAAAGGAAATTATCCCATATTATTATCCCTTGATTTATTTTTTATTTTTTCCAAACTTACAAACATAAATGGGTTTCAATGGCATTTTATCCAATGGAGAAACAAATAAATAATTTTCATTAACTTTTTATGTTAATTCATTTTTTCTTTAATTTGGGGGACGATTTAGATGATGATTAATTACAAGATCATGCTGCAGCCAAGATGGCAGAGAGGCGGCAGAACTGAGATACCACTGGAATTCCAGTCCTGATGTAAATCTTATAGGACCAGTCGGCTCAATAAACAGGAGATCCCTCACGCACTAGCTAAGAAGATGTCTGATTGGGATCAATATGAATGCTGGAGTAAAACTTAAAATGAAGAGAAAAGCAGCAGGAATGGTCCTAACAGTGGCTGGTGTTTCTCACTGTTTAGCACTAGAGATTTTGCCCTGTGTTCTGTTTTCAAGTTCTGCAAAAGGATCGCCGTGCAAAATCTCTTAGAATGACGTCCAGGCTTTTAGCTAGGAATATTTCATAGGGTGTAAACCTTGGTGCACCAGGACTTAAGGCTTTGTGCAGTGACGCAAGCTTCGTAGGGTTAAATGACAATTGTCCTTCCTGGTAGGGAACAATAGAGACGGAGTGGCTAATTTGGATTATAATCCCTGCTGTTCTTGGAATTCTTAACTCTCAGAGTTGGAATTAAATTCTTTCAAACACACAAAAAAATGTATCCAGTACATATTGAAATAACAATAAGAAAGAAAGAGTTCTACATTGATACCCTACTTTAAATTAATGCTGGAGATTCACAGTAATTCCAGGTTAAAATCAGTGATTTCTAATTCAATGTTGATCATCTTTAACAAAAGTTTATGCAAGTCACAACATTAATTGCCTCATTGCTCTTGAAGAAGCTGGAGATTGCTCTCTGTGGTTTTCCCTTTTTTCCCCTCTCTTAATTTTCCCCAAATTCACTAACTCCTTACCAGTTATGTTGAAAAAAAAAAATTAATAAATCCTAGTCCACAAACATCTTTATTCACATGTTCACTTAAATTTTCCCATTGTATGTGCACATTTATGGATTCCATCTAAAAAATATCAAAGATATTTTCAATTCCAACTATAAATATGAAATAATACATTATAGCAAACAAGGGCTTAAATCATATTATAGGTCATCAAATCGGTCTCAGTTTAGTCTGTCAAAGGGGCTGCATGTAGGGATTTTAAATGTCCAGCAGGTGTCAGTATTCAGTGACACAGTAGCGATGCAATATCAATATAGTTTGCAAATGTGTTTAAATGCTTCATGACGCCTCATGAACAAAAAAAGCCTCCACAATAATCCTATAGTTATCAGGCCTTCGATGAGTTTTCGTAAACTTTTTAAAGTTTCAAGCTTACCCGTTTGCAAACATAGCAACATGCTTGTTCTCATCAGTTATTTTTGAAAGTAGGCAGACAGGACGCAAGAGTAGAGAAAGTGGGAAGGTCACCAGGTCAGCGTTAAGTGCTGCGAAGCTTAGCCAACTCCCCGACGTGACATCACTTGTCCGTGTCCGTTTTAGATACGGAAAAAAAATGTTCTCACAAACACGACCCAATGAGCCTAAATAGTTCATATACAATAATATTTTGATTCAGAAACTGATTTTTTTGCATATTTATCTAAACTCTGGTAAAACCGAAGCTGTAACCTGCAATCTTTAAAAGTTAGCTTGTTAGTTTATTGCAAAACATTTACAATTTCCCTGCCTTAAGCAGATCTGCTTAAAAAAAAGAACAGCTGCAATGCACAAAATGTTAAATAATAATGAACAAATGATTATCCTTTGTTCAACAGAAGAATTCCTTCTATTTTGTTTAGATTTTCGCCTTCAGTGTTAATAACCTATTTTTAAACAACCCCAGCCTTCTCCAATAAAGTCAGGCTTAGGTCTGTGGGCAAAAACACTTCGAAACACACTGAAGCTTGTGGTTATGACGTGATAAAACATATAGAAATTACGCTCAGAACTAAAATGTTTCTAATTTGATCCTTTCTAGGTCACGACTCACAGAAGACAGATGTGTCGAGAGAAACTGCTGTTCTGTAAAGATTGTGGCCAAGGCTTTCGTAGTCCTGGACTCCTGCGTGCCCACCGCCTGACCCAGCATCCGCGCCCAGATGAGAGTGCAGAACATCCAGAGGATCCATCAAAACCACATCGCTGTAAGAAGTGCGGACAGGGATTTGAAGCCGAGTCGGAGCTGCAGGCACACCAGGAAAAGTACCCCGAAGGCCAACAGTGCAACGGCAGTGCTTCCCCCATCAAGAAACGGGGCCGCCCCGCCAAAGCTGAAGACCCAGCGGGTTCTGAGAAAAAGGGAAAGCGGAAAAAGAAGGAAGAAGACGAAGTTTCAGAAGCAGCAACGAAGGCAGGCGGCACAGCTGAGGCTGCAGCGGGAGAAGACAAAGGAAAAGCAGGCGGCGCGAAGCGTGGCCGTCCTTCTAAAGCAGCAGCGTCGGAAGCAGAAGATAAAAAAGGTTCAGAGGATGACGGTCAGGATGCAGCAAAGGAGAAGAAACCAAAAGAAGAACCGGTCCTTCAGATCCCCTGTACAGATTGTGACCTCACGTTCCCCGGCTTGAGTCAGCTCCGTGCGCACAAGAAGGAGAAACACACCCCACGGAAAGCCCATCCTTGTGAAGAATGTGAAGAGAGCTTTGCCCGTCCTGAACAGCTGGAAGCCCACATGTCGCGGGCTCACGCCGTCGGCCGTTTAGCCTGTCCCACCTGCGGGAAGAGCTTCAGCCGGATGCGCTCCTTGCAGGCTCACCAGAAAATCCACCTGGACGAGATGCCTGAAAAGTCAGGCGCCAATAGATAATTTAGGCGGGCTGTACCCTGTGGGAAATGTGGTTTTTCAGTCAATTAGTCCTGAATTTTTCCCTTTCTTTTAAATTTGGGCAACATCAGTTTCAAGATGATGTTTTAAATGAACTAGTAGCGGTTTGCAGCATCAGGTTTTAGTCGGTTATTATTTTTAGCTGAGTTTGTTCAGGAGCTGCTCAATTATGACACATCTCATAAGTTGACTAACCAGGTTTTAAGCATCTGTTGCCCTGTTTGTCATTAAAACAGTTCAGTTGTATTAAAAAAAAAAAAAGTTTTATCCACTTTTTGAATGATTTTTATTTTAGTTTAAAGTGTGTTCTTTGAATTTATTTGGTATTTTCATTTGATTTACTCACTTTGTGAGAGTTTTGGTTTGTAATATTTCTTTTTTTTTATTCTTGATGCCCTCCCCAACAGATATAAATACATACTTTAAATAATTAATTAGATGCCTTGTAGAGATAATGTCTGAACATCTGACGGATTGTAATGTGTTATGTACAGTTTCCATTTTAATTTTGACTCTTCCGTTTCACCAGGAAGGAATGGTAGACAAACCCTCCAGATCTAATCCGGAGGGTTTGCAGGCAGAAAATATCCTTTGTAATCCAGATTTTTTCTTTTACTGAAAATTTCTACATTGTTTTTTTTAACTTCTTAAGTAATATTTCTTGTCTTAAAAGTGCTAGATTCCCTTAAGAAACTGTGTATATCATGTTATTCACTTGGTGTCTCCTCACTGTGTCTGGACACTGCAGAAATATAATAAACAGGCTGTCCCAAAGGGAAGCCACCAATGAAACGCTTAGATTTGTGTCTTACTTTTTCTGTTCTAAAGTACGGCTGATTAAAAGAGAAAACGAAAAAATCTTCAAATGAAGTGCAATTACTACATAGTTATAGACATCTCTATAGACGGCTGCTTCTATTGGGGTTTAAGTGGAGAAGTAGCTTCCAGATGCTGATGATGAAACTTAAACACATTTGGAAGATTTGTAGTCTGGACAAAAAAGTAGTAAAACCAATTTTTTAAAAGATTTCTAATTGAACAAGAGCTTTGAGTTAATAAAAGCCTTTTTTTTCACACACACAAAAAAGACTTAAATTGCATCACATGGAAATGGCTTCTGCTGGTACTGAGTGATACAATATTGATGATGGGCATTTGGATTCTGATTTACAACTGAGTTCAAACTGAAGTCATTTTAGTGTTTCTTTTGATGATACGATCATGTTTAGCTGTTGCTAGTTCAAATATTAGCTATTAAGCATATTTAAGCTTTAGATTAATGATTTTACTCTAATTAGAAGTGATTTTTGTAATAATAAAAAGCCCTATGGCATTATTTTCATATTAACTTCTGTAATAAATGCAATCAAAAGTGTTGCATGTATGAAAAGTAAAAAGTTTGATTTGATGGATTTAAAACCCATTATTATGGACAGTCAAACCTGGACTAGTTATTTCAGTCATTACAGATACAGAAATTTCTACAATAAGTGGTTAAAACAGGACTTTTAGTCCACTCACACATGTTAAAGTCCTATTTATCCATCTAGATTATCATCAGGTTAATCTTTTGTTTTTTTCTGGTGTAATTCGAGGATTTTGCCCGGATTGGTTTTATTAGCCCATTTCAGACCAACTGATCAAAATCTAACTAGTACGCACTTTTCTGGGTTAATGTTATCAAGTTTTTTTTTTCTTCATAATGTTCTTTTTTCTTTTAGTATATTAGATTTCTATTAAATTATTTAGATGAAAATGCAAAGGACTAACATTCCTTTGAATGACCTTAATCTCTATATTTGACAATAGATCAATCATCCACTGCTCATCGAGTGAAAACACCTGGATCATACTTTGCTGTCATATCCACTGCCTCCTATGTAATAATTGAGTGTTTTTCTCCATTGTTGGATTCGTTTTCTTGTATTTGTGGATTATCTAAACAAAGCAATGTCAAAGATGCTGCAAACAATTTACATGTCAGTTTCCACTTGTTTATCTAATGAATTGATTTTCTGACCCAAGTTAACTTGTTGACATCTTGATGCTTCTGATTGACAATTACCGGGTATAAAGAAGATGCCAGTCAAAGTATTTTTGAAATAATCTGGGTCCAAATATTCTGACACCATCATTCAGCCAGTTATGACTTAGGGGATGATAATGAGAGCATGCATGCTGATATTATTTTAGCCAAGATAAGTGTTACTACTCATTAGTAATTAATAGTAAATTTGTAAAGATGTATATGGTTATTTATTCTCTGCTTATTAAATGTAACCATTTATAGTAATTTTCTTTTATATGTCAGTAAATGTATTCAGTTTAACACTTCTAAATTACAGGTTCATTTTGGTTACATTTTTAATAATCTTTCCTTTTTTTCGGCATCTGCATTTTTCTGCCTCCAACTGTTAGTTGTGTTCTCAACTAATTATTGTCAATTTTTCTCCTTTTTTGAGTTTCAAGGGTGTCTTCTGGTGCTCTCATTAAGCAGATTAGTATTCTCACAGATTTTTTTGCTGGAACAGCCTTTTCTAGCCGTTCTTAACCTTTATGGGGTGTTTTATTGCAGGATTGGATCATTAAACAGTATTCCAAGCTTTCAAAACTGAGGCCATGACTAAGAAGAAACAAGACTAAGTACTGAAAAACAGGCTTAACTCTAAGATCAAAAGTGTTGATGGCAAAAGCCAAGCTGAGGCATCTTGAAGCTGTAATTGCCACAAAAGGCATTTTGTTGGCAATCTGTTTGAATCTTTCATTCCTGTGTTGGATTAGCATTTTCATACTTGTTTAGTGAAATAAAAATATGTTTGTTTTTCACAGAAAATTTTCCCACTGTTGGACATAGACATGCAGGAATCTCTTCCATTCTTCTATCGCATAAAATCCCCAAAAGATATAATAGTATTTTTTTGGACCTAAATTTAAAGCCTGATTTTTTTATTTTAACAGCTGCATTATTTCCAATGACTGTATACGATACCATGGGCGTGGGTTGGCATAGGGACCATAGGGACATGTCTCTACCAAAATTTTGGACCGACCTACTTGTCCCTACTAACAATTAGATGTGAATAACATGTTTATAACTTACAATACAGCATTGTTGCAGCAGTAGAGGACTTCTGGATGGAGAATATTGACAGACAAAAACATGTTTTTATCTAAAATGCAAAATGTATATATATGTATATATTTTTTTACAACTTTGTTATAATTCCTGCTCTAGGTGGGTCGCACTGTGAGCTTAAGACATGTTTTAGAGTCTCTATACTCCAGTTAACGATTAATCGATTACTAAATTTGTTGACATTATTTGATTAATCGATTAATCTGATTAATTGTTTCAGCCCTAAATAAAATACATGAAATGGGTTAAACAGAGTAACTACAGCCTAGATGTACAACTTGTAGAGTGAATGTTCTAAATGCTCAGTGTCAGTTCCAGTGCTCATGTAAATAAAATAAATTCATTCGGCATCCCTTAAATCTATTATTTTGCTTTGTTTAATGATACAAAGAGAACATTTAAAAGATAAGAGTGGTTTTTACCTTTGTTTATCTCTGCACAATTATATATAAATCCATCCATCCATCTTCTAACACGCTTAATCCCAAGTGGGGTCACGAGGGGTGCTGGTGCCTAACTCCAGCTGTCAATGGGCGAGAGGCGGGGTACACCCTGGACAGGTTGCCAGTCCATCGCAGGGCAACACAGAGACACACAACCATTCATGCACACACTCACACTTAAGGGAAATTTGGAGAATTTAACCTAACAGTCATGTTTTTTGACTGTGGGAGGAAGCCGGAGCACCCAGAGAGAACCCACGAATGATCAGGGAGAACATGCAAACTCCATGCAGAAAGACCCCAGGGATTGCAGCAGTGCTACCCACTGCGCCACTGAGCAACCCTAGTAGGTGATAGACAGTGTTATAATTTTACAATTGGAAGCTTTTTTTATATATTTTTTTTAAGAGTGGGATTATTTAAACTTTTTTTTAATTTAAGGTAGAGGTTATCATTATTGATGGTGGATATGAAGCTGGAGTACCCAGAGAGAACCCACAAACTCCATGTAGAAAGACCCTGGGCCCTGAATTGAACCTAGGACCTTCTTGCTGCAAGGCAGCAGTGTTACCCACTGCCCCACTAAGCAGACCTATTTAGACTATTTTTGGTTAAATAGGCACAGATGTACCTGCTGTCTTAGTTGCTGGTAATTTCAAATGCAAACCTTTTCAAAGTGGAAAATGGTCCTAATTCCACAATCATTAGAGCCAGTAATGCTTCAAACATTGATAAACAGCATCTAGTGTGTGTAGTGCTTATACAATTTGTATTAATGTAGCAAGAAATTTAAATTTAAATGAAATACACCCTGATTTTCACGTCAAGCATAAAAAAGCACCAATGAGATCAGACCAATAGTGTCCCTACCAAAGTTCAAATCAAACCTACGCCCTTGTACGAGACTATTACTGTGTTAAAATTCCGTTGAGGCATGACAGATCTCGGTTGCTTAAATTAACTGTAATACCACTCCATGCCACCAGGTGCACCAGAGGGCGCCCTGGCAGCTTTCCTCTGTTTCTGCTTCGCTCGCCTTTGTTGTTCTGGTCGCGGTTTCTCATGGAGCCAGGTGAGAGCAGCCTGCAGCCTCATTAGTTGTGATCGCTTCGGTTTTATGTCGGTTCGCCTCATTGTTTTCTGCTTTTCCAGCCTCTACGGTTCGTGTGTGATTTGCGGTGGTTTACAGAGAGCGAGCATCGCGGGTAACGGTTGTCAACAAGCTGCCAGGTGAGCAGAAAGGTGTGTCAAACAGGAATTTCCGTCGAAAATAAAACCAGCATTATAACCAGTAAGCGCCCGAGGCGTCTACACCCAGATAAATCGCATTAAATGTGAGATTAGATACAAACTCGTGAGTTAAATTAAAAATAACCCGCCCTTTGTTTATAATGAATAATCAAACGTCTCTCTCCGCAGCTATGTCCACCGACTCCACGCGTGACACCCTGCTGGTAGAATCGGGATTTCTAGATGTTACCTCTGAGGAGAACTCCTCATTGGGACGAATCCGATCAGATAAGTCTCTGCTACGCTCGGCTGTTTCCATGGCAGCCGTGAAGCAGAGGGGGGGGCTCAGAAACGGAGCCAAAGCCGTTAACGGGACCGGCGACCCTCCACCAGGATCCACTGAATCCACGGGCACTGAGGCGGGGAAAGATGGAGTTTATCCACCACAGGGGGATCAGCAGGAGGGGGACGATGAGTCGGAGGACAGCGATGTGTCCGAGGTGTTTGAGGAAGACGACTTTGATGAGGAGGAAGATGAAGAGGACGAGGAGGATTTAAGCAACGGTAAGGCTGGATAGATGCAGCTGAAGCTCCTCAGCCTTCCAGGAGAGGGCAGGTCTAAACAGGTTTAAAAACAAAACGGTTTCACTCCAGTTCTGGTGCAACAGAGGTGCCCTGCTCTGTCTTTGATTACAGGAGCTGATATCCAGTTTTATTTTGAAATCTGTATACATGCCACTGCTATAACATTCAGTTAATCATAAGGATCATTAAGAGATGCAGCTGTTGATTTGTGTTCAGCTCCTAATCTGTTTGTATAGTTTTAAGCTCTTTATCCCTTTAGGAGTTAAAGTTGTACATTTAAAGTGAAGCAGCCAAAATCCTCCAGGTTACAGGAAGGTCTGAAATGAATGTTGTAATAATGTATGATCCTGTAATACTGGTTTAAAAGGAGACTCTCTTTAAAACCAGGGCTTTGTTCATTTATGTCACCCTGATTTCCTTAATATTTGGGAATAGGTAATCTACTAGTTTTTGCATGTAATAACCAAACTTGCTTATATCAGCAAAAGCTTGAAAACAGTCACAATAATTTTTTGTTGTACATTAATCAGAATCAGAAATACCTTAATAATCCCTGATTGAAATTACTTTCGTTACACAAAAAAACAAAGATTCTCCTTGCCCTCTGTTTATATATATATATATATATTCCATTTTTCACAGTTTTATGCTCTGCTTCAGACAGCTCTGAATGGATGATGGATCACTGAGTAGAATCATGGAGTGGATGCAGTGTCTGTCTCCAGCTCCTCTGATTGGCTGCAGAAGTTCCGATTTCTCAAATCTTGCATCTGCCATTTGTCAAGTGCTCGTCGCTTGAACACCCTAAACGTGCTGCAGGACCTCACCATGTGTCTTGGCGTGCTTCCCTTATAGACTTTGCATGTATTGATGGCACTGATTCTCAAAATGCATTGGGTGTAAAACCTCCAAGAGCCACATGTTTGCAATCTTCAGAGCAGTCTGGTTTATCTAACGCTTTTCTAGCTCCTCAAATTTCTTCCAAAGGTCGTCCTATCCTCAGCAGGTTACATACTGCATGAGAAGCAAGAAATTTGTTCTTGTTCTCAAGGTGGCAAGAGCAAGAAAAGTATTTATACTTTGCAAGAAGCTCAGCTGCTGAACTCATAGAAGGTCCAATCATCTCTACCTTACATCACACCCTTGAAAGTAAACACAATGGCAGAGGAAGCCTTTTAGGATTGATTGAAGGAAGACTTGGAAAGAAGCATTGATTCAAATGTTGATGCTTTCACACACCTGAAATAAGGGGCGAATGTCCAACCTAAAAGGAAAAATAATGTTAGATTGTTCTGCTTAGAAACTCCCATGCAAAATCAATCACAATTGTTTTCTTACAAGCTGCATGAAAAAAGAATATTGACAAGAAGCAACAGGAACCTCTGCTGAGTATACTGGGGAGTATAAAAATCTTGACCTATTAAGGTCAAAGGTAGAATGATTTGTTGGCTAATAATCTATATCTGACCACATCGGCTACTTTCTTCTTTGTATTTCCGCTACAGAGCAGAGTAATTCTGGTGACTACCGCTGCAGTGTCTGTGGCCTCCAACTGCCCTCCAAGTTTAAGCTCCAGGACCACATGAACCTGCACACAGGAGCACGTCCGTACTGCTGCGCCGAATGTGGAAAGCGCTTCTGTCAGATCTACAACTACCGGCTCCACCTGCGCACGCACGCCAAGTCCAAGGTGGCGCGGCACTGGTGTCGCATCTGTCTGACTGGCTTCACCTCTCAGGAGGACCTGAAGCGCCACCTGTCCAGAACACACTTTGAGGAGGAGTTTTACGAGTGTGACCTCTGCAAACGCGTGTTTGCCTCGCTGAAGGAGTGCGAGAACCACGTGCAGTTGCACAAGTGCATGGTGAACATCATATGCGAAACGTGCCGCCGCAGCTTCCGCACAGAAAAATCCCTGGCACGACATAGGAAAAAGGGGTGCCTTCGCACCTTTAAGTGCATCGACTGTGGGGAAACCTTTCTCAAAAAGAACATTCTGCTGAAGCACAGCTTCTCCCACCTCGGTTTGCTGCCTTACACCTGCATACGCTGCCGCTGCCACTTCCGCCTAGCCAAGCTGTACCGGCAACATAAGTGTGACCCTAAGCGCATCCACTGTGTTGCATGCCTGAGAGAGTTCTCCAGTCAGGAGGACTTCCAACGGCACAAAAAAGACACAGGCTGCTGGGGCAATCAGGAAGTCAACCAGAAAATAGATGAAATCCGTTGCTTGGAGTGCGGCCAGAGGTTTGACACTTCAGACGAGCTGAAGAAGCATGCGGGTGCTCACCAGAGGGTGCTGAAGTGTGCAGAGTGCGGAAAGGGCTTCCGCTCTGCATTGCTGTTGATGTCTCACATGGGCGGTCATGCCGGGCAGTCGCCCTGCTTCTGTCAGAGCTGTGGGCTGGGCTTCCCTCACCAGCAAAACTACGACATCCACCTCAAAACCTGCGGGCAGACTCCCCCGCCTTCAGTAAGTGTACGACCTTTGAATTGTTTATCAGATATTCTGACTGATGTTTATGTCTCTGAAGTTAATTTGAGATTCTACAGCTGAAGTTGAGAATAATTTTTAAAACGGAAAAAGGGCAAAATCTACATGGCATTTTATTTAACCTGAGTCACGAATACAGAAACAAAAAATATCAAACACATTTCTAAAAGTAACATGGAATTGTCACAAGATGTCCATAACAGCTCGTCCAATCAATATGCAAAGAAATTAGAGAAATATATTTCTCTAATTTAGTGCTTTTAAATCCTAGAATTCTGCGTGCTCCATCTACAAACCATTCTCTAGGTATTTCCATAAATTGTCTAGATGTAGGTTGACTGGCTGGATAATTTTATGATCTTTTTTTTTTTTCTGCAGCCAGGTCAGTCTCCTGGTTTGGGTTTTTCCTGATATTTCCAGCCACCTTTCATCATCCTGGTTAATGGCAGTATAATGTTATCAAGAATATCTTGAGACTTATGTCTGTGAACTCTCTATGTCTAATAACAATGTATGCTGAATAGCAGCTCTGCAACATGATGGCTGCCAACTGACGCTTAAAGTGGCACTATGCATGTGGAATGTCGCATTGCTGGGGGAAGGAGGTGGAGCCATACCAGCTAGAAATAGTCAGGCTTACCTTCAGGTATAGCCTTTGCTCTGGAACCCAGTTCTTTGACATAGGTTGGACTCTCTTCTACTCTGGAGTGGCCTGTGGGTAGAGGCAGAGGTGCTCCAGAGGAACCCTTCAGGTATTGTAAGGCCAAAGGTGCAACTGCCTGGGTGGTTGCAGGGACTGGGAGGAGTTTGGAGAGACCGTTGTCAGCCTTATAGCAAGTCTGGCAAACCGTCTGGATCCTTTAGAGGGGGAAGCTGCACTTGGGTGTTTTTAGTGGGAGACGGGAGGTGCTAACTTCGACTTAGGACATGGTCACCTGGCTCCCTCCTGCCAAGACCTACTGCAAGAACTGTGGCGATTTGCAGCCTAGTTTTAAGCACCTAGGATGAGGATCAGCTCCTCCAAGTGTGAGAAAATGGTGGCTTGCCTTCTTTATTTTGGAGGAGAGTTCTTGCCTCAAGTGGAGGAGTTCAAGGATCTTGTTTCACGTGTGTGGGGACAACATAGGAGAAGATGGTAGACGAATCAATGCGGCTACTGTCGTGCTGTGTTCTCTGAATCATACTGTTGTGTGAAGAAATAGCTGAGCGAAAAGGCAGAGCTCTGGATGTAATGGTTGGTCTATGTTTCTACCCTGAAACATGGTCATGACAGAAACAACTAGATCTCTGATACAAGCGGCTAAAATTAGCTTTCTCCTCAGGGTGGCTGGGCACTCCCTTAGAGAGGAGCAAGGAGCTCGGTCATTCAAGAGAGGCTCGGACTAGAGCAACTTTTCCTCCACATCAGGAGGAGTCTGCTGAGGCCGACTCAGACATGTGTTTCAGTTGCCCCCTTGTTGAACACAAATGGATGAGAAAATTTAATAGAAGTTAATACCTTCTTTTCTTTTACCTTTGTAATCTTATCAACAGTTTTATCAAGCGTTCTCATCAAGTCTTTTGTTTTAGCAGTCTTAATGCTGAGGTAAACAGGTACCGTAGTCGTTTCTCCCCAATGTGTTTTTTTTCATGATTTTGTGTGTTTTGTTGCAGAGTATTCCTAAGAAGCATCACACCTCAAAGAGCTCTGTTCTAGAGAAAAAGAAACTTCTAAAGAAAGTTGCAAAAACAACCTCTGTAGCCAACAAAGACCCACAACAGCAGGGTCCCAGTAGCCTAAGACCACACAGCACAGCGTCGACCGAGTCCGGACAGTCAGAGGGAACGTGGACCCTAACTCTGGAAGACAAGACACCTGCCTGTATGAATCTGGTCGTTTTTCTTCCTGTCTGTCCAACACAAACCGATGGGCTACGGCTCCCATCCAGCGTCCCTCAGACACTACCAGTCGGCGCCATGCAAGCTCTGCCTCAAGGGCCTCCATCTTTACTGTCAAGCAGTGAACTGCTGGGTGTGAATGCTGCTGTTGAATCTTCACTGAACCCATCCCTGGAGTTAGTAACAGGTTTTACTTCGCAGGACAGAGAAACGCCTTTGGATCTGTCCAAAAGGCCAAACTCACCCAAATGCACTGAGTCAGACATTCCTCATCTTTCCGTTAAAAGTGAGCCGAGTGAATTTGAAATCTCTGGGCACGGCAACGATTTGGAAAAGCAAAGGAAAAGTTGCGTAACAGACAGACGATTGGACCTGTGTAGTGAAGCAAAGAGATGTAAAATGGAACCCACGGTTCTCCCTCTTAGTACCTACACAGCATCATCTCCTCTTACTGTGGGCATAAAGAAAGCTCCTCACTCTCCTGATGCAGGTGTGGACGTGTGGTCCTCCTCGTGCAGCCAGCTGACGGACTGTAATCCAGAGAAAAGCATTAAGATTGAAATGGATGTTTAAAGCTCTGGTTAGCCTAATGCATCAGAGGAACACTATAACTTGCAATAATGCTCAAACTATAAACAGCACTTGAATTATATTCCTAGTCATAATAAATATTGTGTGTACATAAAGTATCAAGTGAAACATGCAACGTATTTCTTATTGTTTTATTTTTCAATAGGATTTCTTCTGTTTGTTGGGATTTAGGACATAATAGCAATAAATGAGAGAAACTGTGACCTAAGCTAAAACAGTTTGCTTCTAAAAATCAAGAAGACATTCCACATTTGAATATGTGTTGTGGCCCAGATGGAGTGAATAAGCCTATGCAGCAGAGTTGTGCTGGATTTCTCTTGGCATCTACAATCTTTGTCTTCATTATTTTTTTCTTTTTCTGTATATGTGTGTGTATTTTTGTACCGCAAACACAGGGGTTTGGGATTCACAATATATGTGTTGCTTGTTCTCCAACTATAATCCTTTTTTTTTTCAAAGGTAAATAAAAATTTGTTTTTGAAACAAGATCATTTTTCCTCCTCAGGTTTCATCATCCTGGTTTGGTCCCAAATATATTGTAATGGATCCTGGTTGCTCTTAAGCTGTGGAAGTTTATTGCTAAAGCACCGTTCACAAACTATTAGATCCAAATGAAAAAAATTTAAAGTTAAATACAAGGTCTTGACAAAGCAAAACCTTGTATTTAACTTTACTGGGCCTATATCAATCAAATTGTTTTCAAGCTTTTAACTATTTAGCAAAATTGATTGGTTCATGCATCCCTGAGTGATCAATGTATAGTCTGCTCTCTGAGCATCAATCCTTCCCTCGGTGCGTGCGTATGTACTGTATACACAAAATCTAAAAGATTACTTCCAAGGTTATTGATCACTTGAAAATTGTAACAGAAAACAGCAGCTGCAGCACGATTTTCAAGTCATCAATAACCTTGGAAGTAATCTTAATTGTTTTTGTGGTTTATTTTATTGCATATTTCTTGGTTAAATCTAATTTTTAGTGGTTGCTCTGAATTTAGTCCTTTGAGAAATTCTACTTTATTTGTCTGCCTAAGTATCAATTATTCTCTTGCTAATCTACATGAATGTTTCCACAGTTAATACAAGGTCTTCAACTAACAATTATTTTGCTTATCAATTAATCTGTTGATTTTTTGATTAATTAGAAAATAATCGGATAGCAAAAGGTTCCTTAAAGATTTTTTTTTTTTTTTTACAGAATTGAACCTGGTGAAACTAAAACTTTTCCACCTGGGGAGCTCTGGATAGAGTATATTGACAGAAGGAAAAAGTTTATTTATTTTTTTTTCTGAAATGCAAAATCACACACACTCGTTCCACCATCGTAGTGAGGACCGTGTGTTGACTTCAATTGATTTTCAGTCATTTTGAAACTTAAGTAGAAGTATAGATACGGCAGTTTTATCAACTTGACCTCTTTACTCAAGTAAAAGGGAAAAAGTATGTGCTCCAAAAACTACTTAAAGTGTAAAGTAACCTTTAAAAAAAGCAGCCAGATGCCACTATATGAATTAAAAGCTAAATTTTTCAACTATTTCCAAAATTTCTTTTAGATAGGGCCATGGATGAGGGAGTTTTTGTTGGTCTCCATCTCCCGATAAGCTCTCGCCTGTGTCCAACCTTTTAAACATTTCAACATCTTTTTCTGAATCCCACATTGTAGCATGGCATAGACAATTTGTGTTTACAGTTTGAAAAACACCTCCTTGCTTCTGATTTCCTTTAGCTAACCAATGAGTGTTTGCGTTATATGACTCATCCAATCACACTAGTTTTCACTAGATGTGGATGGAGCCAATGATCTGCATTGGATGGCGCAAATAAAAATTTATACACATAAATCCAAAGCCAAGAGTAAGTGTTTTAAAGATGTAAGGAATAGAAAGTACAGATACTTGTGTGAAAATGTAAGGAGTAGAAGTCAAAAGTAGGAAGAAAAATAAGTAATGGAGTAAAGTATAGGTACCTAAAATGTGTACTTAAATACAGTAACGAAGTATTTGTACTTCGTTACTTGACACCTCTGCTAATAACTTGTAATTAATGGCAAAATATGTTTTGTTTTATTGTACTAAACCAATGAACTGAGTGGAATTGATCTGAAGATGCTAAATATGGGGCGATATTGAAATAGAAAATATTTAGGATGGAGCTTAGTATTGGCCTAGAGGGTTGCAGGTGCCCGGTTCAAATCCCCACAGCTTCCACTCTGGGTTTCTCAGCCCTTAATCCCACATTGCTCCTCGGACTCCACACAATGGAAGCCATTTCAAAGGGGAATCCATTTAACCACATTTAACCCCAAGGGGATGGGTTGAATGCAGAGTGAATTTCCGCATTGTGGGACAATAAAGGGATTTACATTAGTGCTGATGAGGCCTTGTTTGTTGAGACACTTTGGATACAGATGATCAGTGCAAATGCAGGCCACACTTTCTGGATGTTATTTGGAAGAAACTGCCATATACACTATATTGCCAAAAGTATTTGCTCACCTGCCTTGACTCACATATGAGCTTAAGTGACATCCCGTTCCTAATCCATAGGGTTCAATATGACGTCGGTCCACCCTTTGCAGCTAGAACAGCTTCAACTCTTCTGGGAAGGCTGTCCACAAGGTTTAGGAGTGTGTTTATGGGAATTTTTGACCATTCTTCCAGAAGCGCATTTGTGAGGTCGCACACTGATGTTGGACGAGAAGGCCTGGCTCTCAGTCTCCGCTCTAATTCATCCCAAAGGTGTTCTATCGGGTTGAGGTCAGGACTCTGTGCAGGCCAGTCAAGTTCATCCACACCAGACTCTGTCATCCATGTCTTTATGGACCTTGCTTTGTGCACTGGTGCACAGTCATGTTGGAAGAGGAAGGGGCCAGCTCCAAACTGTTCCCACAAAGTTGGGAGCATGGAATTGTCCAAAATGTCTTGGTATGCTGAAGCATTCAGAGTTCCTTTCACTGGAACTAAGGGGCCAAGCCCAGCTCCTGAAAAACAACCCCACACCATAATCCCCCCTCCACCAAACTTTACACTTGGCACAATGCAGTCAGACAAGTACCGTTCTCCTGGCAACCGCCAAACCCAGACCCGTCCATCAGATTGCCAGATGGAGAAGCGCGATTCGTCACTCCAGAGAACGCGTCTCCACTGCTCTAGAGTCCAGTGGCGGCGTGCTTTACACCACCGCATCCGACGCTTTGCATTGCACTTGGTGATGTATGGCTTGGATGCAGCTGCTCGACCATGGAAACCCATTCCATGAAGCTCTCTGCGCACTGTTCTTGAGCTAATCTGAAGGCCACATGAAGTTTGGAGGTCTGTAGTGATTGACTCTGCAGAAAGTTGGCGACCTCTTCGCACTATGCGCGTCAGCATCCGCTGACCCCGCTCCGTCAGTTTACGTGGCCTACCACTTCGTGGCTGAGTTGCTGTCGTTCCCAAACACTTCCATTTTCTTATAATACAGCTGACAGTTGACTGTGGAATATTTAGGAGCGAGGAAATTTCACGACTGGATTTGTTGCACAGGTGGCATCCTATCACAGTTCCACGCTGGAATTCACTGAGCTCCTGAGAGCGACCCATTCTTTCACAAATGTTTGTAAAAACAGTCTGCATGCCTAGGTGCTTGAATTTATACACCTGTGGCCATGGAAGTGATTGGAACACCTGATTCCAATAATTTGGATGGGTGAGCAAATACTTTTGGCAATATAGTGTATACTCTCATGGCATGTTTTTTTTTTTTCACTGTGCAGATGCTCCACCGTGGCTGTCCATCACAGCTAACTAAATAGTTTGACGTTTGTGGGTTTGATGAGACAAAATGTATAAAAAAAAAAAGAAATGTAAGGGATCCTCACTCTGCCACACCAAGCAGGCTTTTAGTCTGGTTGAAATGGAGGGAAACTGCAGAAATGTTTCAAGCGTTTTGTTTGGATGGAATGGGTGACGCTAACTTATACGTCACCCAGTAACCCGGAAGTATATCGCCTGCTAACCCCAACTGGGCGTGTCATTGATACTAGAAAAAAATACGCATTTGTTTTTTATATTTATGTTGTTTTCTTTTTAATTAATGTTGTGACTCGGCTCTGTAGAGGAGGGAGCTCCGGTGTTCAGTTCAGCTCATGGATAAAGAGAAGTCCAGCGATAATGTGAGTCGCTCCGCTGCATGTCTGTCGGCCTGGTTAAGTGAGGAGATGATGGTTTCCGCTCATTTAACTTTTCTTTACGTGTCTCAGCATGCACAGTGCTCATGGATGGAGATGCACCAGTACATCAGTGAGCTTCTCGCATCTGGAAACCAATCCAAAAACGCGCCAGACGTGAGAAACGCAGCATGGGGGACGGCTGCTGCTAGTGTTCCTTTGGGGGTCAAAGCCTCCTCCATGCAGCCCCTCCAGGCTCTTCAACAAGTCCAGGAGAGGAGAGAGGCAGCCCCGGGCAGAGCGATCAATGCTGGCTCATCTAACAGGAGAGCAGAGGCCAGAGATGGAGCAGAAGGTGGCTTCTCCATGACAGCCTACTTTAGCACACCATCAATAATAATAACCCCTACCTTAAATAAAAAAAAAAAAAGTTTAAATAATCCCACTCTTAAAAAAATATATAAAAAAATTATAACACTGTCTACTAGGGTTGCTCAGTGGCGCAGTGGGTAGCACTGCTGCAATCCCTGGGCTCTTTCTGCATGGAGTTTGCATGTTCTTCCTGATCATACGTGGGTTCTCTCTGGGTACTCCGGCTTCCTCCCACAGTCAAAAAACATGACTGTTAGGTTAAATGGCTTCTCCAAATTGCCCTTAGGTGTGAGTATGTGCATGAATGGTTGTGTCTCTGTGTTGCCCTGCTTTGGACTGGCAACCTGTCCAGGGTGTACCCCGCCTCTCGCCCATAGACAGCTGGAGATAGGCACCAGCACCCCATGCGACCCCACTTGGGAGCAAGCGTGTTAGAAAATGGATGTCTACTAGGATTTTCACAATACTAAAATGTTCAACTCATTACTGATACTCAGGAAAATATTCGATACTTTATACCAGGCATCCCCAAACTCGTTCCTCGAGGGCCGCTGTCCTGCAGGTTTCCCTGCTTTAGCACAGCTGATTATAATGATTGCAGTAGAGCAAAAGCCTGTTAATCAACTATTAATTAAAATCAGCTGTGCTGGAGCAGAGAAACATCTAAAACCTGCAGGACAACGGCCCTCGAGGACCGAGTTTGGGGATGCCTGCTTTATACCATTTTCGATACAAGGATAAAAATAAAGACCACAAAATTTAACAGAAATATTTTTAAATAAAATACAGTAACTAAATGAATGCAATTAAGCAAGCTTGATTTAAAAAAAAAAAATGAAAAGTGTTCCTTCCTTGACTATGCTTTACACACACAATGACAATAGCCAAACCAGTTAACAAATAAAAATAAATGCTGTATTCTGGGAGGGAAGAGCAAACCTTGGGTTTAGCTGCTTAATAAGTTGTTAGAACCCAGGTTTCTCCACAGTTAAATAGAAACCTGATCCATACATATGTACTCACTGCCACAGCTGTTTATTTTCATAGCTTCTGGGGACTTGGCCTCATATTTCGGATGTTGGTCAATAATGGATGGTAGAGTCGGCTGTGTCTGATGGCGTTTTAAAAGCAGCTCTACTTCTCTCTGCTTCATTCTGTGACTTCAAGAGAGAAAATAACTCTTTTCAGTGGCATCTATAGTTTTGAAAATGAGTATAGTATCAGGATACGTTTTAGTATCAATACTATTTTGAAAATTGACAACCCTACTGTCTACTAATAAACCGCTTTCCATCTCTAAGGACCGAATGAAAAAATGTAATTTTATGGTTGTTTTTACCCAATAACTAAAATCGAACGTAAAAAAAAAAAAAAAAATCAGATTTATATAACTTATTTTCCATTTTGAAATGATAAAAATAATTTAGTAATATCAGAACGGGGTATCTGTAATACTGGAGTCTCCATGGGAGATTTCTGTGCTTAGATATCTACAATATTCACCATTTGATATTGAAGTGTTCATCTGTTTACATCTGGAGATTAAGACTGGTATAAATGGGTACGTTACCTTTCTTTTGTGGTGTATGCTAGAGAATTTCAAAGTTATGGTAATTTTTCTAATAGAAAATCTTATTTAAAAAAATGTTTCCATACAAACGAGGCAATGTGGCTTAAAAACCTGATCTCAGTTCTTTCTTATCAAATCGAATTAATAGATTTTCTTGTCACTTAGTTTTATGACCTATTGCTTTTAAAAACCTAGCTTTGAATCATTCCCTCTGAGAGGCGACCTTCATTTAAAGGGCAATGAAATTCAAGCTGTGAAACATGCTTGTAGAAATAATCGGATTTCACAGCAATCAATGAAAATTCAACAAACTGTTAGTAGCTAGCATTACCTCAGAGTATATCAGTTGTAAGTGCACATCTAAGAACAAAAGAAATAAACTGATGTGTCTGAGCTATCGAAGTTAAAAATATTAAAATTAAATCCTCAAATTAAAAAGCTCAATCAATTTTAGTGATTTATCACCCATGACTAAAATAACAGATCGATTAAAATCAAATTGAGAAGGCTTCCTGGAAGTCTAGTGGATGTTTTTTTTTTTTTTACTTTTTTGGAACAGATAAATGAAAGCATTCAAAAAAGTTCCTGATACAGTGCAGGCCAACAGTCCTCCTATCTTTTCCAGAGCATCATGGTTCCTACAATGTACATAATTATGTTTTGCTTTAGTTATCCAAATACACTTTTATGCCCCAAGGAAATAAGTAGTAATTGATCAATGTGATCAGCATGAAAAGGTTTTTTTTACTTTTGAAAGAGATTTTTTTTTAAGATTTTTTTTTTTAGTTTTTATGGCACTATTGGCTCGCTTTTTTGACAGTAGGCTGACAAGAAAGGGGTATGAGAGAGGGGGAGAGACGTGCGGCACAGGACCACGGTCGGCTGCGTCGAGGACCAAGGCCTCCACACATGGGTCGTGCACGCTTACCACTGCGTCACCTGCAGTATTAACACCTGCATACAGTATTAATACTGCCAACAGTGATTGTATAATTGAGTGTAAATATCTCTCTTACCTCAGATGTAACCTTTTCCCCCTAAATGAATGAAAGATCAAATTTAAGTCCAAGAATTCCACTATATATCACCAGCACTGTATCCCTACTTGTTCCATGTCTCAACTGATTAAGTTGGTGCTTTATTTTTGGTAAACATGTCTAACACCTGTTTTTCCTGTCTATTCTGCAGGTCTGGATGAGCATCATGCCTGCACCTGCCCAGGCTGTCCTTTCTTTAGCTCCTCTTCCTCGTTTGAAACCTTACTACCCAGACAGTCCTTTTCCTCATCTCTTTATTCTCATGCTTCATGCCAGCCTAAAGACTTGAGCGTGAACTTGTGCTCGCCTGACACAACCGGCCCCGGGTCAGATTCCAGGCCGGCCAATCGACCACAGAGTCATGATGCAGACAGAGGGACAGACAGAGAGAGCCAAACCCCAAATCCCGACGCCCCTCCATCAAGACAGTCAGCGGGCACTCTGGCCCATCTCTCCATGTTTCCCTGCTTGTGTTGCCACCGTAGATTACCAACCTGCACCCACCTTGTGAGCAACCAGGAAAGTTCCAACTCCCCCTTTTCACACACCCATGCCCACCATCATTTCCACCACCATCACTGCCCCATGACGTCATGCGTTCCCTGTCCTCAGCTTGCCCACCCTGCACAGCTATCCGCTCCCTTTCCGTGCCTGTCCTGCCGATGCTCTCTTCCCACCTGTCACCAGCAGCCCAGACAAACGGAGCAACAGCAGCTGGAGGAGGAGAGAAGGCGGCCCCTCCTGTCGCTTCATCCTTGTATGCACTGCACAGCCTCTTTTTCAAGACCGTCTCAGCTGCTGCAGCATCAGCGCTCCGAGCACGCCCACAAACCCTCCGGTTTCCTCTGCACAGAGTGCGGCCGGGCCTTCAACTCCCACAGCAACCTCCGCATACACCTGAATGTGCACACAGGTGCCCGGCCTTACTCCTGCACCGACTGCGGGAAGCGTTTCAGCCAGTCAGGAGCGCTAAAGATCCACAAGAGGATTCACACAGGCGAAAGGCCGTATTCGTGCGACTTCTGCGGCAGGGGGTTTCCCCATCTGGCGGGGGTCCGGGCACACCTACGGACCCACACGGGGGAAAAGCCCTACAGCTGCAGCCTGTGTGGGAAGTGTTTTACCCAGTCAGGAGCTCTTAAGATCCACACCCGTATCCACACAGGAGAGAGGCCCTTCATCTGCAGCGTCTGTGGGAGGGGCTTTTCAAATCGCTCCGGGATCCGCTTCCACTATCGCACGGTCCATGGGCTGTCCCCAGAACACGATGGGGAGGCAAGAACAAAAACATCAGGATTCTCTCCTGGGCGTCCAAGATCCCTTCCTCCAACTAGCATCGGACACGCCGGGCAGAGCAACCTGGACAGGCCTTCTGCTCCGGACCCCCTCAGTTCCTCAGAGCTGATCCCAACCAACCGCAGTGAGAGCAGGTCACAGGAGGAAGGAGCCAGCAGTCATAGAGAGGGGCTGCTCTATGCCTGCGAGGATTGCGGCCTCCGTTTTAAAGACGCCCCATCCCGGAATAGACACCAGACCCTGGTGCACTACTCGCACGAGCGTCAGGCGGAGGAGAATCAGAGACAGGGTGAAGACTTCAGCACAAGAGAAAATGTTCCGCATCCAAGCGAATGAAACATAATCATGTTTTTTTTCCCCTTCAAAGTTCAGATTTTATTGGTTTTGTATGCAGTGGGCCAACACAAAGGGAAGGTTAAAGGTTAGATGATTTCCCACTTTCTCTGAGTCTACTGCATACAAACCCATGTGAAACCTGTGGGAGCAACAACTCTGCAAGAAGGTCGGGGAGGTTTGAATACTTAAACCTGATACTGCATCAACAGGAGGAAGGAGCACAAAAACAAAGAAAACATTGTTGCAGTGCAGTTTGTCAGGTGGAGAACCTGTTGAACAGCTTCCATAAAGCAAACTGAAATGAGCCCTAACCCATAGTTAATTAATGGAGCTTTAACCAAACACGGTCCTGACCGAGCAGCGATCATGTTTACAGTGTGGCAGCGCTGCAGGTTTATGTCCAGCTTTACTACAAGTTGAAAATGCTCCACATTGTATTTTTGATACATTTCTTTTTTTATTGTGCCTTATTCTGCAGTGAAAAAGGCATCGGTGGAAAACTTATAAAAGTCACAGTGTAAAGATTAATTGAAGAAACGATTAACCGTTTTTTTTCCCAACCGTTAATCTTAGCATAAAGTTTCCTATAATAAAAACAAAGTGCTATTTCCTGATTGCTTTAGAAAAAAATACAGATTTTTTTTATACAGTAGCGAAAGCAAACAGTGCAGTCACTGAATCCAATGGACTTTGCATACAATTTTAATAAGAATACAAGCTCTGTTAATTTAATTTTGCACTTCTTCCTACATCTAGCAGAGTTTGGAGAAAATTCCCTGATATCAAATGTGTTATAAAATGAAAGGTTCATGATACTTTTCTTCTCCTTTATTCTTGTGCCTCTGCTGTACTATAGCTCCCAAGTCCTTTTTAAACAGGTTATTTCTCCACATAAAGATACACAATACAGTATATTATTAGAGGTCTGAAGCTCTCTGGTGCCACCTAGTGGTCACATTTAGTCACAGCTTCAAACCTGTCTAACATTTACAGTGTTTCTTTTACAGCAAGTTCTGTTTTGCATTAATCTTTTTAAAAAAAGATGGACGTGTTTGTTTCTGTAGAAAGTGCAGCTTGTGATTGAGCATTTCGTTGGCAGACTGTTTCTCTCAGACAACAATCAAACTTGGAGCTTCTCTGTGCATTTTATAAAATAAAAACTGTACAAGTACGCATATATTGGTCTCTGTGGGTCTCAGATCTTTTTTTTTTCAGTGTTCAACCCTGGTGTCCTCTTTGTTTATATTTAGAGTGACTCCTGATGTCCTTGAACATTCAGCGACCGGTCAGCAGGAGTTTTTCCTGAGAGGAAAATTCCGGTTTCCGTCATAAGATCTCAGAGCTCCTCTAGTTCACGCAGATCTCCACAGCTGAGCTGCTTGGATTCACAAAGGCTCCTCATATGTGTGCTTCCTTATTAAGGAGTCAGTTGATTTGGGCTCTGCATAGACTTCGCTGGCAGGTCGAGGGCTGCCGGCATGCAGAGCTGGGGTGCAGTAGCCGTTGAACAGCACCCTGTGTGAGGGGCAGTCATACCGACTGTGACCGGTGGACACATGAGCGAGAGGTCTCTGTGCAGTGCTGTGAAGTAACCCCGTCAAGGTGGGCGGTTTATGTTCGGGGGGCAGCTCGCTGAAAGGAGTGGCGTACTCGGGCTCCGGAGGTAGAGGCTCGGCGTACTCTGGAACGCTGCCAGGTGTGTCATAATGAGCGCAGGTGAACGGGGTGGTGTATCCATCGTTGGAAGAGGGCCTGAATGTAGATCCAAGCTTCTGTCCACCAGCTGTGACGGCAGGAGCAGCATAGTCTGGAAAGGAAACCAGCATGTTAGACGCATCAAAATAAACAGCTTTTGTATTTCAGTAATGGAACTCACAAGTCAATGCGTAAAACGGGACACAACTGCATTATTTAATTTAATGGGAAAAGAAAAGGTTTGGAAATGTCTTTCTTATTGTTTAGACCCAGAATGGATCCAACTTTGGATGATTTAAATGTCTAAGAATCACTTTTTCATTTTCTCACACAGCTTCAATTTGAGTTGTGGAGTTAGAAGCCGAGGCGCTCGATGAGGCAGAGATGGGACGGCTGCCTTTATTGAGCCCCAATTAAAGGAGCTCTTTCACAGCGACTCTGAGGTCCAAAGAAAGGAATGTTTATACAGTGGCTGGCGATGAGCTGAGCCGGGACAAAGAAAGAAAAGCCTGGCTGCTCAAACTGACCACCGGCAACAAAGAAGGGAAGAAAAAAAAAGAAGCAAAACAGAGCAGCAGAAAATGTTCCTCAGTTCTCACCGTTTAGAGGGGGACTTGGTAGAGCATCGTGTACGTTTCGCACCAGCGGGTATGAGATCAGCTCTGATGATGGATGCAACAGACTCTTCGCTTTCAGACTCTGACAGTCAACTGACATGAAGAGAAAGTCAGAATCAGAGTTTATGAAAAGCTTTAAATACGTTAAACCTAAGAGCCTGACTCACCTGTGGGTAAGGAGTTCTTCATTTGGGAGTCCTTTTTCCTACCAGGAGAACATGAAGATATTTTACATACTGCACACAGCTTTTAGTTTATTGAGAAACCTTTACATTTTATAGGTAGGGTTATGTGATCAAAATGTTCCATTTTCTGTGAGCAAAATACAACTTAGAAGATTTCAGTGCTGGTCAGATATTAACATACACTAACGACACAATAAATAAATGTCTAATAATGCATACAGACCCGTGCATGTAAAGGTGCAGTCCATTTAACAACCAGGGAAAAAAAATGATCAGGATCTGTACTTTGACTAGGCCAGGGAGTTTTTACTTGGTGAATTACTGCTTTGTTTTGGGTCCATGCCATGTTGAAGAGAATGTGTCATTGATTCTATGATGCTGAGGCGATCCATATCCTGCTGAAGCAAAGCTGCCCAAATCATGAAATCTCTGCCTCATGGAGGCTTTGAGGTTTCCTAGCAAGCTTCATGCCAAGCATGTCCTCTGTTCTGGAGTCTAAAATAAACAGTTTTAGTCAGAGGAAGTTTTTTCCCAAAAGGTGCTGGTTTGCTCTCTGGTCAATTTCAGTCTGACCTTTAGGTTTTTCTTGGGGAGCAAGGCTTTCCTTCCAGTACACCTCTCATTAAATATAAACTTAAAAGTGTCCTAATAGTACAAGAGAATTATAAAATATTGGGTTTCATTTTATTAATTTGAGCATTTTTGGTCTGATTTCAGGGCATGCTTGCCAAGACGTGGCTGCTGGGTTGGTTGTAAAACTGATTTTACAATAGATAAAGTAGGCCGTTTGTATAAATACTGAAAATCAATGGCTTTATGCTTTAACAAATTCAGAAAGGGTCAGAATTGTTAAAGGCTGCAAAAAACTGTAGTTTTCCTGCAGTCTGTAGTTTTCCTGCAGAAGCAAATTTAGGCAAACTAACTGGGAGTGTTTGTGTAACTTTAGCAAGTATGCAGAATTTTAAGCCTTTCTGCAATACATTCAGACTTGCTATACAACCTCATTCTTAGGTTGTAATACTACCACAAAATATACGTTAAAAGATATGAAAAGCCCTAAATAAAGAAAACAAACACAGTAAGTGTGATCATCTGACGGATTGTGCCTGATTTATTCTAGCATCCATTACAGCAGATCATCAGAAAATATAAGAAGGAAACGAGTGAAGAAATACCTTCGTTTCCACCAGATTCCAGCCAATAAGCAGCTCCCACACATCACCAGTCCCAGGACCACTCCCACTGCGATGATCACTGGCTGACTGGGGCCTGCAACAGAACAAGTCTGTGACTGATGTGCATGTGAGGTCACAGTGATGTCACCGACACAGGCTACGGTCGAAAGTTAACGTTTTCTACTTTGCTACGTAGAGTTCATACTTTGAGTTGTTTCCACAAACGGTGTCTTCTCTGTGGGAGTGGGAGAGGGGCTTGGGTTTAGGTTGTCCACGTTAAATTTGATTGAAGGAGATTCTCCTGGAAAAGAAGCAGGAACTGTAGCGTCTGGCGAGACTGTGTGAACAGATAATATTTGAATGGAGCAAACAGGATGCGCTCACCTCCATGAGGTCGTGACCTCGGCGTGGCCTTGGCAGCGGGGCAGCCCAGAAGCTCAACCTGAGCAGAGGCTCTGCCACGCCAGCTCAGTGACTGAAGCCGAACAAACCGAGCGACGACCGCAGGGAACAGGTTGTTGAGCACCCTGAGGTGGCCGTCTGTGTAAGCCTGGAACACCTGGGAGCAAACAGGGACAACCAAAAATCAAGCTACTGTCAAAGAACTCAAAGGTTTTCCTTATTTCTTTATTTCTTCAGCAGTTCGGTGTTGGAAGTAATGTTCAGAATTTCTGCGTATTAATACAAATAGACGCCAAATAAAAGAAAAAATCATCAGAGCTAGCGGTACTTCGCACACGGCTATCGAGAGATAGCATGATAGAATGGTTGCAACATCGGAACCTTTTTATTAAATTGCGCACTAAATCATTAAATGGGCCATATACTGAAGTTTAAAAGTATAATGTTCTCGCCTCAAATGATCTCAAAACGTACTTTTATAGAATAACGAAAACAAAAAACTTTTAACTTAATACTCTGAGCTCTGTGAGCGCTCCATTGAAAGCTGCTGCTGCCGCAGTGCATGCTGGGACAGCTGTCAATCTCAAGAACGGACAAGTCTGCTCTGATGCATGCTGGGTAAAGAGGGAGGGGCGAGAACAACATCCGGGGACTTTGTCCGTTCTCGGTCTTGTGTTCTTGTGAGTGGAGCTGTACTAGGGCTGAGGCTGATGACGTTTCATGAGCACAGGAGGACGTTCAATTACACATACTGAGAAATGGCCAAAGTGACTGAATGTCTGAAACAGGCTGGATCACCAACCTTTCTCTCTTTGCTTGCAGCATCTTTGTAAGTCTTCCAGCTCTTTCTGTCCTTACTGAACTGCAGACTGTAGGATTCGATGTAGTTCGTCGATGAGCCTGTTGTGACCAATCCTGGGGTTAAGACAATGAGATTATATCACATTCAATTCTAATGAATAATCAGATTATTTGCAGCTCTTGTTTGGCTCTCAGCACCAGATCTTCAGAAGGTTTGTGTCTTAAAACAGGCGCAAACGTGTTTCTATGCACAAAGCACATCTTAAAAGGAGGTGGAAAATCATTTATGTTTGCAGTACACTTTCTTTCTGCTTGTGTGCCTTCATTAATATGCAGATCAAATTCTAATGATCCGACTGCACAACTTCATGGGTGGAGGATACGGAAATGTAAACATTCATCACGTGCAAAGGGATTTTCTAAATCTGAAACTCAACTGAGGCCTCAGTTTTTCATGTCTTTTTTTGGTTCTTCTGAAAACCAGGTGAAAACTGACAACTTTGCTGGCACAAAGGAGGAGTTGGTGCGATGCCAGACATTCTGTGTGCATGGAAACATATATGGATTCTAAGAAATAACAGTAGCGTAACATTAATAAAGAAAAAAAGGTGGACAGGCCGGCACAAATTATTATTTATTTATACAATTGAACCAAAACATAAAATATTGACTTAACTTAAATATTTCGTCATGTTTATATATATATATATATAAAAAAGTATCATACTGAAAAGAAAATGTAAAGGGATGTGGGGGGGAGTGAAAATGCCCTTCTTTTCGCAAAAGGGATATTTTACGCCTTGACCTGTAAACATAAACGTACACAAAGCTTGAGTTGTTTTTTTTTTTTCTTTTTGGAAAACAAAATCTGCTCTTTTTAATGGGTGAAACCAAAACTGGTTTACACCTCTTAACATTTGGGCAGCAATCTTTGTAGATCACATGCAACACCCGTGCAATTTAGTTCCCCTTCTTCTAACTTCATGCTGCTTTAGGCTGAGAGGATCTAATGACCTCTCTTCCTTGGTCTGCCATTTTCCCCTACCACCTTCCAGTGACATATTGTTTGCAGCAGCCATTAGTTTTAATAGAAGGTACACCTGGCCCAGTAAGGCCAGGGACAGAGTAACTGGAAGCTATCTTCTTTAGATTCCCCTTACAAAGTTCTCTAAGCCACTGTTTTAATGTTTATCCGTTATTTCCTGTGACTGCTTCATGTCCTTTGTCTGCAGAAGATAGACCAACTTCACAGGGTTGGAGGCTCTTGTAGGCGTCTTCCTGTTAAACAGGAGCTGTTCCTGTTGCTGCCCAACACGGTTGCCGAAATTTAAATTTTCCAATATTTTTCTAATTTGAATCTGCACTCAGATTTTGTATAAATGCAACAAACTGTGCAGAATCAAACTATGTTTATGGAATTATTTATTTTCTTACCTGTCACACTGCTCCTTTCAGATAGTTCAATCTCCACCCAGGGGTTGGGATCCCCGCTGTCTGCTGTCCAGCGCAGGAAGTCGGGGCCTGGCTCCGTGTTTCTGGACGATGAGAGCACTGTGTGCTCCTCCCTGTTTTTGTCCCAGAGAGACGATGCATTTAGAGGAGAGACAGCCAGGATGTTGTTACACTCTGTGTGGGAATGAGAGGAAAGGATGAACGTGGCCCATTGTTTCACCATCTTCTCTACAGAAACTTTCAACTCTCATCTTTACGATAAAGACAAAATTTTCTGTGTGCTAGATAATGGGGTTAGCTGGGGTGGGATGAAATCCTAACACTTTAAACACTGGAGCTCATTACAGGAAACAAACTCAAGGAATGTAAATAATGTGCTGCTGGAGGGGGGGAAAAATCCTACCTCTGCTAAAAAGCAGCTTCTTCTCGGATAATGACCCCCTGTCAAAACATAATCAAGGATGGGTCAAAATGGCTGCCGACAAACATTACTACGATCCTTTATCATGAGCACAATGCAACTACTAACGTCTTAGAGAGGATTCCGTTGGCGAAGGTGGATTCATAGAGTGTGAGACTTCTCCCCTGATTCACAGTGACTCGGCCTCCCAAGGCGTCAGACGTGGCTCCGCTGTGGACCGCAGACTTACACAGGACTGAAGTCTGTGGCAGAAAGGAGAACTTCTAAACCACAGATAACTTTGGTAGAGCATAGCTTGGCGAAGGGAAAACTGGCTCTTACGTCTCTGTAACCCTGCTCAGAGTTTCCCCAAATGTCCCCCGGAACATCCTTACATCCAGCTGGGCAGTAAACACTGAGAAGCACATGAGATATAGTGATAAGCAGATCAGAAGAGAAAATGGGAACAAAAGCAAACACAGCTCTCAACTCTGATAATACCTTAATCATAATGAAACACAGAGGTGGCAGCATCATGCTGAGGGAAAGCCTCTCTTCAGCAGGTACAGGGAAACTATTCGGACTTGATTGGAAGAGAGATGGAGCTTTATCAAGGCCTAATGAAAAGCATCTCCACAGTATGATGCAGCCACCACCATGTTTCACTGCAGCAATGGTGATTTTATATCAGTTAAAAGAGCACCTCTTGGTGCTGGTTTATGGCATAAAATCTGAACAAATAAAATGAAGCTTTTTGATCGCTTTATGACAAAAAACAGCAATTTCAAAACAATTTCACAAGGTTAAAATAAAAAATATAAAGTATAATACTTTGGGAACAAACTTACATTAAACGCTGAAAGCTAAAATGGGATCCTCTTTGTAAACAAGTGATCAGATCTGAAAGAAAAATAAAAAAATACAGACGCTAAAATGAATCCACACATTTGTAAAAAAAAAGAGCTTTAAGAATCTGGGATTTTGATGCACAGTCTCTTTCTTACATAACAGCCTCCCCACTGCTTCCCACACAGACACAGAAAAACATACAGCCCAGATCCAGCATGAGACGGGCTGCCATCCTCTAAGCATGCTATATTAGGAGAAAGGCAGTCATCTCTGTTAATGTGACTGAAGCCTTTGTTGCTGTCCCTTAGTCACAGTTCACGAGTCTCGCCAAAAGCCCTTCTGCCGTCACAGTAAACAGACGGCGGGTTGTGTCTCTGCACAAGGCTTCAGCTCCAGACGATGTTGGATTTTTGTAAACAACAAAAGTGAAAAACAGGAAACTATGATACATACCACAGACTCAGAGAGAAAAGAAGGCTATCCCCTAATACATATCGGAGCAATCGGATCTAAACAAACACCATAAACAAAAAGATCCACAACGTCCTGAAATGTAATGCATGAACTAAGACATGAGGCATTTTGTTCTGCATTCAAAGACATGTTTGAATTCAAAGCATCACTGGTGGTTGATTTAGAGCAGGATTCAGCAGCCTATGGAATGACAGGCCTTATGGGGGGGAAAGGGGAAGTAGACAACCAATTTCAGCCTCTGGCCAGAAGTCCTACTCCTGTTTAAATGTAAACACAACAATGGAGAATGAATGCCAGTAATTCATGATGCATCATCAACACACACCCACCCACACAAACAGGTAAATATTAACAGATCACTAAGCACAAAAAAGAAACCCCTGCAGAAGCTTGTAAATCAGACCACAGACAGCTATTGTTCAACACAGTGTGGAGGACTAAAATAGACTCCAAGATGCTGATAAAACACTTTTTGTTTTAATAAAAGGTCATCTATTTATGTTTGTTTGGGAAAATATTTAAGCAGAATACAGAGGATATAATGCAGCCATACCTGGATGCTGGTCGGTTGCATAAGAGAGCAGAAACCCTCGTCCAGAGCGGTGTGGGCCGGACATGAATGTTACCGTCACTTCATTGGTTTCAAGAGTCACATTCTTCATTGTTGCATTAAGCCTCCCACACACTGGACCTGGAAATAAACAACCAGTAACAGAATGAAAATATCTCCACTAAAATAATGGTTCATTCATACCCCTTGAAGTTTTTTTGTAACAGTTTGATATACAAAGTTAAGCATAAATGTGTTCGGAAAAAGATAAATACTTCATATGGAAAATGTTTCCAAAACAAAAACATGGGAGGACTTTTTGGATATTTCCCGATCATTCTGCACAACTTGAGACTGGTATGTCTTCTCATACCTAGAGTAAAACATGGTGGTGGCAGCATCATGCTTTTTTTCAGCAGGAAACAGAGAGCTGGTTATGGTTGAATGAGGGTGGATGGAACTAGATGCAGGTTAACCCCTATAGACAACGTGTTAGAAGCTGGGCAAGACTTTAGACCGGGATGGATGAAGACCACAGAAAGCATACAATCAGACAATCAGAGCTACAATTTAAAATCCTCCTTCTTACAAATATAGCCCTAAACAACCAAGCTCCATCTCATATCAGAACTGATTGTTCCTTATGTTTTAAACACAGCACTTTGCTCTCAATCTGTAGGTTTACTAATGGTTCCTAGAATTTCTAAAAGAAGAATAGGAGGCAGATCTTTTAGTTATCAGGCTCCTCTCCTATGGAACCAACTACCAGTTTTAGTCCGTGAGGCAGAAACCCTGTCTACTTTAAAGGCAAGGCTTAAATAGTTCAATTTTGATGAGTCAGAATAACCTGAGCTATCCCTATAGTTATGCTGCTATAGACTTAGACTGCTGGAGGACATAGGGACCTCTTTCTCTATTCTTCAATTCCACAGTATTTACTTTAAACATTGCGTAAATGTGTACTGTCAGGTTGTCACTCCACAGAAATGTTTTACCAATCATCAATCTAAATTGGCATGCTTAAAAACACAACTAAGCATAGAAAAATAGGTCTCAATAGTAGTGAAAAACCCATAGACACTGCGGCAGGGTCTATGGGTGTCTGCCAAGGTTACTGAATCCACACCCATGCACTGTTTTATTACACATTTTAAAGGAAAAATATTGTAAATATTATATCTATGATCTGATTTTTAATTCATGGGGGATCAGAGGATGAGCTGCGCATGTGTGACTCATGTTCAATGGGGAGACGAGAGTTTCTCTGCTCTCCGACTGCAGACACAGGCTGCAGCTGCTGCGCCTGAGTCCCTGTGAATTCAAGGTGGGAGCAGCTCGCTCACTGAATGTTTGCTGAAGACAGTAAACCCAGAACAAGCTGTTTATGTGTTGTCACTAAAGTTTCTAACAACACAGGAAAAGCCTTTTCCATTTGTCACTACGTGCAATTTTGGAAAAAAAAAATATGCACCAAATATAGCAACAAAGTCCCTAAGTTGGCAACAATGCAAAAGCAGCCTAACTTTGTTTCTATACACATTAAGATAGCCCCCAAAAACACCCGAAACAGGAAGATTGAAACCTAAATTTAAATCTGTGTGCGAACCAGTTTTGCTGGTATGCTTCTGCACCGTCGGTCTGGAATTTCTAGGGACGCACAGCAGTTTTCCCCCAAAGCGCAAGGGGGAGCCTATTCGAGAACTCGCAAGAACTTTGGCGGATGGTCACAAGAACTTTGTTTTAGCAGAGACCTTGGCATCTTTATATAATTTGCCTGGGTCATCCTACAAATGGTTGTACTTCCGAACCTCCTCAATTAACCTTTCGTCGTAGTTGTTCATTGTAGTTATTCCTCGGTTTTAAAAAATGCCGCTCCCCGGTACCGAATTGAGAAGGATGACAGCACAGACAGCCGGAAAGGCATACCAAGGACCTATCACAGCTGTTTTTTGTCTGCGCAATTCCGCTTTAGGTCTGCGCAGGTTTGCGACCGTCTGACACTAAGTCAGGATTTTTTTGAGGTGCGGTACGACGGTTGCAGAACCGTCGGTTTTCGAGGCTATTCGTCAGAAGCATAAATTGGCCTTAAGGCCACTCACTCAGTCTGGTTCTTTTGGAGGTTTCATCTAGGACTTAACAATTTTACCAAAAACCTAAATTGCAATTATTTTAGATGTTATTTTGATTTTTCTTTGCAATACCGACGAGTGTATAGATGGTTAACGCTAAGGTTTCAGCTTTTTCATGACCTTCACTTCTAACTGCATCAATGATAGAGGTTTCTCTTTCCTTTTTTTTGTGGCAGCAAACCCACTATAAACATATCAACGCCAACTTTAGTGCTGTAGTAAAACAACAAACAAAAAAAAGTCTCTTAGTGTTGTTATATGCAACTTGTACAAAATTGAGTGCCTCTGTGATTTGAAAATTGCGTTTTGTTGAATTGTGATTATAATACAAATGTAATAAATTGCCCAGCCCTAGTTTCTTCCTGTTCAAGGGGAGTTTTTCCTCTCTACTGTTGCTGAAGCCATGCTCGTTCAGTATTTGGGATTGCTGTAGAGTCAACAACATAATGCAAGTAAATATTTAGTGTAGCCATATGAATGAATCCTGCACAGTCAATATCTGAATGCAATCAGCAATTGATCAAAAACTTTTAACAAATCCTACTGTATGATCTGACTGAATCGGCTCTGTAAACCTGCGACCTGTGTGGTGAACTGGCACTATATAAATGAACCGACTTTAATTGAATGCTTTTTATGTTTTAAACATCACGTGTTTTCTCATAGATGCACTTTAAAAAAATTAAAATGTCAAAAAAACTTTTGTAAACACTCTGTGTGTACAAAATGATAATAAAGTCTGTAAGTCTAAAGTGTTAAACTGCTCCAGCCAGACTATAGAACTACATTCAATTTTAAATCTGTGACAAAGCTTAAAAGTATGATGATCTCTAATGCTCTCCATCCTATCTGAGCAGTATGCAGCTATCTAGTGAAATAATGAGTGATTCGATTTTCTAAAGCTGGTGAAATAAAATGTAAAGACTGTGAAGTAGTAACTGTAGGAATAGCAGATAGCATTACACAAATCAGTGACTCTGAAGGGCCTTATATGAATATTTGCAACACTCAGCTTCTGTCATAAAACGTTCTACAAACTGTTCATCATCCTCTTGCACTCTCCAAATATGCACTATTGTGTGTTGGACACATAATCATAATAAAATACACCAAAGCTTGGTTCTGTGATGTAAAAACATAGATTTGTTATGTCTTTAAATGCTTTAAAGGCTTTTGCACCATTTGTCCAAAGCTCCAGATGTGATCTTAAGGCTTTTTGTTTCCATCAGTCTATCATGAAAACATCCATGTGAAGAAAAAGGTGATCCTTAAACAGCTATAACCTGAACACTGTCCAACCAATAAAATAAAGAATCTCATAGTTCATACATTTCTGGATGCCTTTCCAACTGCATAAAATCACATTTTGCCTTATTTATAAAAGTGCAGACTGTACACCTGAGTACATTCAGTCCGTTTTAGCCAGAACCCGAAAGACACTGAGTCAAATTCCAAAGAAAAGCAACATTAAAGGCCTTCATAGAGCTACAGGTTTGGCTCTAGTAAAGAAGGCAAGATAAAAAAAAATGTTCCAAAGTCTTTGAACAAAAGGATTATCTGATATTTGTTGACTCTTTACTAAAAGTGTATGCTGCTGTGAATTAATAACCATACTCTTTTAGTGCAGATATAGAGGAGCCACTTTCATAAGCAAACAGATTAGCATGCGATTCAGGATGGTGACCTTGTACTGATTGCAGAGTGATCTTTTAAAGAGGATAAAAGCTGCTGTATCTGTTTGTCTAAGAGAAATCACATTTCACATAGATCCATGATATTTATAGATTATCTTTATCAGCAGCCGTGCACAGAAAACATTCAAAGCTTTTGGGTTTAAAATAATCCAACAGATGTTTAGCACAATAATTTAATCTCTTTAATCTCCCAACGTGAATTTTTTGGTGCACTGTCAAATATCTGTAGCCTCAGGACTCAACCTGATACAGCTGGTTGCAAAATGTACATGTTCCTGTTGCAAAACAGGGTTCCTCTCCCATCGATGTTTCAGCCGAATGGCATGCCATGAGCCTAAAGTCATGACATGCCTGGGAGATCTCTAATAACGACACGGAGCATTAAAATCTGTCAGCAGGTATCCTGATTAAGCACTGACTTACGTCTGAGATCAGTGAGGACCCAAACAGCGTCATAGGAATGAATATGAACAAAAGGACATGGACCTACCCAGTCTTCGTTCTCCGCTCTTGCCTGTGATCACTAAGGATCCGTTTCTGCAGCCTGGACTGCTCTCAATGTCAAAGTCTCCAAAGAGCAGCCGTAGCGTCCGGCCCTCCTGCACACGGAGCCTCCATTTACACCAGGTGTTGCTGGGATAGGTGCCTGGGTAGTTGGGAGAGGCCAATGTGCCTGACTCTGCTCCCAGCAGCGCATGTCCACAATCGTTACCTAACATGAAGCAAGAATAAAACAATGAGGGCTTTAAACTGAAACCATCAGAACCATTCAGGTTTCATTGTCTGGGACTCATTTCAATGGAGGAGAGAAACATTTCATCAGATAATTTATTAACTTTCCATTCCAAAAAATACAAAATCTTGACTAGATTGAGGTCTGGACTTTACGACGGAGTATTAGGGCCAGGATAGAGGGTTGTTTTTCTTCTATTTCGAGAATAAAGTCGGAACATTACCAGAATAAAGTCGTAAAATTACGAGAATAAAGTTGAAACGAGAATAGTCATAAATACGAGGATAATGTAATAAAATTGGGAGAATAAAGTCATAGCATTACGAGAATAAAGTTGTAAAATTATCAGAATAAAGTCCTAAAATTATGAGAATAAAGTCGTAATATTAAGAGAATAAAGTCCTGAAATTACGAGAAACAAGTTGTATTTTATGACAACTCTTAAAAGAAGCATTTTCTTCCCTAAAATGAGGAATGTTGAGCATCATGTGAAGTTATGCAACGGGTTAATGTATGATGACTTCAGTCTCGTTATGTTACAACTTTTTCTTGCAATTTTAAGACTTTATTCTCATAATATTAAGGCTTCATTCTCAAAAAAAAAAAAAATAGATCTCCAGCCTGGCCCTAATACTCCGTCGTAGGGCTTTGACTAGGTCATAAAATGTTTTGCTTTAAATGTTTTATTTTAGCTCCAGTCATTAATTAGGGGTTGCTATTCTGCTGTTAGGTGAACATCCATCCTGGTCCCAGGATTTTCATAACTACCAGCAGGATGTTTTCCAGGACCGTCTGTTTTAGCTCTGCACATCTGGCTTAGACCAGCAGAAGAGAAGCATTCTCTTAACGTGATGTTTCCTTCACCATCTTTCCCTGTGAAACCGACTCATCTGGGGTGATTTAATTCAATTAAATTCAAAAATACATTATCAATCCCAAAGGGGAATTAAATGCTGCAGTAAATCATAGGTTGTTTTTTTTAAACCAGTAGTTATAAGTGTTGATAGCTGCAGGCAAAAAGCATCTTGTGTCTTGAACTGAATCTGAAGAAGGCTCTGACTGAAGACAGTCTGGATCTGCAGTTTTAGGGTTCTGCCATGCATTCGGTTTAGCATGTAAAACAAAAAGCTGGAATGTAGATGCATCTGATTATTTCCCATGGCTGCTGTGTCCCCTAAACACCAAACCCTTTTATATTTTTGCAGCTTTTCTACAATAGGCTTTGCATTGAGAGCAAATGCTGGACTTTTTTTCAAAAGATACTCCTGCCTAAACTGTAAATCCATGGAAATCTAAATAAGTGTCTTTTTTCTTTTAATGAGGAGGTGAGTGAGACACTTTGGCAATGGAACAAGACGATCTACAACTAAAATAAGAACAAACAATTGCATTGTCTTATTTCAAGTGCTTATTATCTAATTATCTTATTTAAAGAGTAAAAATACCCATTCCATTGGTAGATCATCTTATTTACCTCCTCAAATTTAGGGCAAAATACATTTCATTTAAGAAGTTTTTGCTTATTTTATAGATTGTTTTTGCAGTGTGCAATCTTCCTTGGCTTGGATTAGTCTCCAGTGTCAGCTCTGTAGCATAGGTGGTTTGTATACTCTTTACACTTTTCTGTTATAATTGATCTTTGCTGTAAGCTTCTCCACAGAAGATCCTTTGTTCACGTCCACATCAATAACAGATGGACAATATTTGATCTTTTTTTTTTCAATGATACATCAAAAAACTAATTTTGGGGTTACAGTATAAAAGGAAACCCACAGATAAGCTACATTTCTGTTGGTAAAAAAAAAAGCAGATATATATTTTTATCCACACCTTCTGCTGTAACAGACAGTTTTTAAACCATCTGTTGAAAGTAATGATCACATCCTAAGCCGAGCCAAAATGTCTAAACCGCAGACAGGTTTGTCATAAATTTCCTAAATAAAACTCAGTAAATATTTAAGGATTTGCTGCAGCAATATCACAGGACAAACGTGCAACATGTCTGTATCATCAGAACAGGCTCTGCAGACCTGGACATGTTTACATTCATAACTGAATGATGACACGAATAGCTGGAAAGGAAATTACTCAAATCATAAAAAGAAAAAAAAAATACCAATCACCCACATCCTGGAGAGAATGGTGAACTATTTAAACCAGAAAAGGTTAGATAAAAGGATGCAGATTTATTGTTGACCCTCTAGAAGAAAAGGTGAAGGAAACTTAGAAACTTTTTTATCATTGTGGAAAAAGAAAAACATTTTAGTCATAGATTTATTACATCCTCTGACCGGTGAGTGTGCTGACTAACACTAACACAAACATTTAGATATTTGGTCTGATATCTCTGCTGGTCATTGGAAATAAGTGAGTCAGCTCCAAAAGTGGTTACAAAGAGATTAAGGTTACAGAGGCTGCTTGCACAAATCCAAAACCCCCGCAAAAAACGCAGGAGGTGACATGTTCCCAGAATGGTCAAAAACTTTAGTAAGACCCTGAGGCCCGTCTGACTCCAAACATGGTTCATGTCTTCCATATAAGGCTCCGGAACCCCCCCAGATAACCCTTCGCTTACTGTTTTTCCACACATCCTGCATCACACCATCCGCCCCACTTCCCAACAACTCTGCAAATCCCAGCAGCAACCTTTGAACGCAGCTCCCCAAAGGATTCTCTGGAAATGCCAGAGTGACAAGCTGTTGCTGTGGGCACCAGAGCATGGATCTGTCACCTTCCGGTGGGAGGCCACAAAACAACAGCAGTTCTGGCCACGTTCTGGGTGACTGCTGACTGTCTCCTCCTGGCTGAACTCCTTCACCTAAAGTCATTCTGACAAACCCGTCTCTTTCCATTTTATTCTTCATCCTGATGTAATGCCCGACAAATATATATATATATATATATATCCCTTTAACCTTTTAAAAACATTTTCAATGGCAATACAGACTTGCAGAAAAAACTGTCTAAAACTGAAGAGCCACAAGCAGTATATTGATCAGTATATAGTTTACAGATTTTCTCTAAAAGGTCAAAGAGGCTTCATAGAGAACATCAGGAAACAAATAGGGGCAAATAAAGTTGAGCAGAACTTTAATAGGGTTAGATTATGTTAAAAAAATATTTAAAGAAAAAATGAAAGATTTTTTTACTTTTTTCATTTGAAAATGAAAAGAGTCAACAACTGCAAAAAGGGAGAAGTAGTCAAGAAGCACCTTGTAACTCCTGGTAACGCCTTTTACAGCTGCTTTTTATATTTGTGCTTCTGTCTCCTTGAACCCCAGTCGGCCTCAGCAGATGGCCGCTCACACCGAGCCTGGTTCTGCTGGAGGTTTCTTCCTGTTAAAAGGGAGCTTTTTCTCTCTACTGTCGCTACAGGCATGCTTAGTGTGAGGGATTGCCTTCAAGTCAAAGAGTCGATGCAATCAACTGGTTTTCCTTGGACAGAAAACTTTGAATCAATTTGACTGTATGATCTGGTTGAACTGTAAAGTGCTATATAAATAAACTGAATTGAATCGAACCCTGGAGGAGCTGCAAAGAGACAGAGCTATGTTAGGAAATATGGTAAATCTAACCTTTTTGTAAAAAAAAAAAAAAAAAAAAAAGACATATTTACCAACATCTAACAGATTCCCAATGGGCAAACATGGTGGAAGCATCATGCATCATGCAATCATGGGCATTGTCTTCCAGCACTAAATGGACAAGATGGGAATACCAGCTAAACTATTATAACTGAAAGGCCACCCCCCCCCCCCCTTCTAATTTACAATCACGTTTTGCTTTACTCAAGAACAATCTGTCAAGCTTGTTCTTAAACGCAAAACAGGAATTTAAAGTGTCTGGTTTGTTAAATGAAAGACAAACTTTTTTTTTCTTTTCCCAAATCTTCCAATTTCTGGCAGGTCTTTACAGGTCTAAGCAAGCAGACAGGATGTTCACCTGTCCTGCCTGTCACTCCATAGCCTTCTGCTCTTAAAATAAGACAATTAATGTAAATAAATAAATAAAAAACAAATAGGTCTCCCTAAACCTGTCCTAACCAGAGCTATGAGAGATTATCATTTAATAAAAATGATTCAGGTATGTGAGGAAACCAAAGAGCCAGACGAAAACAACAAAAGAAGATTTGTGGTGTGGCTGTGAGTGTTTGTCATAGTCTAGGCAGGAGTGATCATTTGCTTCGTTGTGTCTTTGTGTGTAAATATGGTCACTGTGAATCATGCTTGGATATAGTATTGAAAAGCTTTTGGTGAGGAAAGCTGGGAGCAGCAGGTAAACAGATGGACAAGGAAACAGCCTGCAAAGAATGTCTGCTGCATACTAACTGGGCGACCTTTGCACCTATGGTGCTTCAACAAAATGCTGTAATATTAAAAAATACTTTCAGTTGGAGTTTATTTTGACTTTTTTTTTAAACAGCAGTAAATGTTTGCAACCTGTTGGAAACCGTAAACTGTATAAAATATGCCCCAGTTTCAGAAATAGTTGTTGCTTCAGATAATTATCTGGATCGATCACATATTAGTCTGTAATAATACATTTTTAATAACTATATATTTTTTCATCAACAGGCAAACATGTTAGATATACGGTGTAACGTCAAAATCACTATTTTACCCCCCAAAAAGTCAACGACAAACGGCTTTTTCTTACCCTCCTGACAGCGAACACCGACTAAACAGACGCTGAAAGTAATCCACAAACTGGCGGAAAGAAACTTTACTCCATTGTCCGTGTTTCTGCTCTTTCCAGGCATGGTTTCCAGCCCTGTCCGAGGGAAAAAGTAAGGTGCATACTTCGATGGGGCGACTTATCGCTTCAATAAAAGAAAAAAAAGCAGCTGAGTGCTGCGTGTTTCCTATTGGCCACGAGTCGCAAAGTCGACGTTCTATTGGTTGGCTTGACTGCCAATCAAATGATCCCTGACATTCCATTCAAAGGTATGGGGTTCCAGATGTGTCTGTATTTATCTACTCTAGCAGACTTACCAAGAGTTTTAAAGATTATAAGCTATTTTAAGAATCATGGAAGAAAAACATTAAAGAAATAGTATAGTAGGCCTATAGATAATATACGTGTTGAATTAAATATATAGCTTGAAAGGTTGATAAATAAAAAAAGGGAGTTAAAGCTAAAAAGAAAAAAAACATAAGGAGAAAATTAAACACAACTGTATGAATTGACGATTAAGTTGAATGGGGGGATGAAAAAAGACTATTTTATTTAAAAACTTAAACTAAAGTGAATGCAGTTTTATTCCTATTGATACTTTTGCAGAAATAAATGTTACAAATCCTTTTTGTTCTTTTTTGAGTTTTTTTTTTAGTTTGGCCCTAGTGGCACGTTTTTCTGATAGGTAAGGGGGTATGAGAGAGGGGGAGAGACATGCGGCAAAGGACCACAAGCCGGATTCGTACCCTTGTCGGCCGCGTCGAAGACTAAGGCCTCCATACATGGGTTGTGCACGCTAACCATAAGCAGTGCAAGGCACGGGGGGTGTAGATGGAAAAATGAAACGCAGGGCCGAAAATTGTTCCCAGTCCGATCAGAGCTGTTCAGCCTATTGTGAATATGGAAGATTTGTGTTGTTATGCCGATTTGGCCCAAATACAACTTCCAAATAGCAATTGTCCACATTTTGAATTTCATAGGGGCATAGTTAAGTATAAGTTCCATGTCATCAGAGGAGCCTCTTCTTAAAGACTCAAAGATCTTTCATATGAAGTTTGAAGCAAATCAGATTATCCATATGCTATTTAGAGCAAAACGTTGACGAAATGTTCAGATATAGAATTTTGCCTCCTTGCCATGTCCACATGGTCCAGCATTCAATGTTAAGAATTGAATTGAATTCAAAGTAAAAACAAAGAACTTCCAGCAGTAAAAATGGACTTCCTGTTCTCAGGGGGCGGGGCTAAAGTGATGTTATCAGTGGGAACCTCTATATGATGAATTCTGGTCTGAGATGACACACAGAACTTTAATACTCCTCTGACCTTGCATATTAAAGTTTTAATATTAGATATTTTTTGTGTGGCCTGGTAGGTTACACATGAGTACCAAATTTTGTAATCCTAAATAAAAGAATAGGGCTGATTGTTTGTTGACTTACAGCAAAAAGTCCAAATTGGGAGGCTTGGCCATGCCACATCCTTTGATGCAGCAGAAAGCTCTTGATAATGTTTGATCCATAATGCCTTGTCTTTGCTAAGTCACTTAGAAGTATGTTACCTAAAAGCTTAGTTTGTTCAGATATAAAATGAGTTTAAAAACACCAAGAATTGCTTTTATTTCAAAATGGCTGAGTTCCCGTGGACTACGCACCAAGGCTCCAAAAGATTGTTTTGTAGGTTTTGATTGGTTACAAATCAAATGTTATAATTCTCAGTGAAATCATGGTCGGGTGCTTACCTTTTGTTTTATGTCGGAAAGTCTCATTTTGAAGCTTGGCCACACCCACATGCTGTGAGAAAGATTCTTTTGATAACTTTTAATCCCCAATGCCTTTAGCCTCATCCTTGGAGCCACTGCCACATTTTTCAGAATAAACTTTAATGGCCAAGTTTGTTACAAAGAAATACTTTGTATTCAGTTTTTAGCATCACTCACATCATATCAACCTTACTTAAATAGATAATAAGCTTTTAAAAACCCGCTCTGAAATCTGATCCCCCCCCTTATGTACCACCTCTGATGTTTGACACATGGAAATAGAGCAAATAAATAGAATAAAACTTGTATAGCACTTTTTTTTTTAGCATCTCAGTTACCACTGGCTATTATTTCCAACCACTTTCTATTATTATCTTCTGTTTCAGGCTTTTGTACCACCAAGACCAAAGCTCAGCAATAAATACACAATACTATGGCAGGCCATTTAGACATTTATTAGCTTGACTGAATATGTAATCCAGACGTATCAAATGCATTTCTTCCTAGTCAAAATGAACATTGCAGATATCTAAAATAACATTCTCCCTATCTAAAGTAAACATTTCAGATGTCTGAAATGTAATTCCTACTAGTGCAAGTGATATCACGTTTCCCATTGATGTGTATTTGGCTTTTACTTCCAGATATCTAAAATAATCATTCTTCCTATCTAAAAAAGAATTTTGCAGAGGATGAACTCTATAGAGTTACTGCTAGTCATAAGTACTATTTCAGATATGAAAAATTAATATGACATTCTAGATATCCAGAAATACAATTCTTGACATCTAAAAATATTTCTGCTAGTAGAAATTTCATTACAGATATCAACTACTTATTTTATGACTAGTTAAAATAGAATTAAAGATATCTCAATTTTGATAATGCCTATCTAAAATTTAGCAAAAGAGTAATGAGGCTCCATTTTAACACAACATAAGCAGGCTGACTAGTCACATTTCTATTATAGATAGTACTAAAGCATTCTACCCTGCCTCATTTGCAATATTCCTAGTCAGAGTTGTATTTCAGATATCACTAATTACATTTCTACCAGTAGAAATTATTTTTTAAGTTATCTGGAACAAGTTCGTACCAGTAACAACTACATTTAAGATATCTACAAATCTTTACTTACTTTAAGTGTCCGCTTTTACATATATTTGCTTGACCGGAGATATATTTCACATATCTTTAATAGTATCCAGATGCATTTGAGACACCCCGATTACATATTGAGTCAAGCTAATAAATGTCAAAAGGGCCACAATTTTTTTTTTTAAAGATTTCTAGGTATTTGAAAGTTTGTTCTTACTTTATTATAAATAATTATATTTTTAGCATCCTGAAATTGAATTTTTGCTGGCAAAAATGTAATTTAGGATATCTGTACAGTTCTGGCTAGTAGGAATGAAGTTTTGACCAGGAAGAATCTTATTTTAGAGATCAACCCGAAAGCAGCATGCTGCAGTTACACTGCTTCTGTTTGCTATCACTTTATCTGGATTTATTGATATATATATATTGTATCTGGAGCGTGTGACAAAAGTTATTTCCCTCTGGGGTTATTAAAGTATTTCTGATTCTGATTTGACAGGGGTTCTAATTAATGTCAAAACGGCATGCCTAAATGCTTCCCTGCAGGGGCCGTAGCTACAAATGTGTTTGGCATAATAGGAAGCCCATAGCACAGGGAGGGAAGGGGGAGTTTGCTTTCTCTCTCTTTTTTTTTTTTTTTTTTTGCATCTGCTGATCTGAAACCATGCAGTGACTAGATACTGTATTTCATTTTATTATATTAAACAGTATAAAAGGTTACTAAATTAACAATTAGCATGCAAACAGGGAAGGGAAATACTTTGAAAATGTTTTTTTTATTTGCTTAGAGCTGCCATGTACTTTATAGCTAACACTGCCATCTAGTGGAGAAACTCATGCAGCGCAGGAACACACCAAACATGCCGCTCCTGTGTGAAGTAGGTTAGCAGCAAGAATGAAAGTCATTAAATAGTGCAGCATGTTTTATGTAGAATTGTGTGTTTTTTAGTAGTAGTGAACGAATTTAAAACTTGGATAAATAAAATAATGACAGTGGAGCGCAGCCCCAGCCTCACGGGAGCAGTTTGACCGAGTTGCAGATCGCGTGCCAACAGAGCGCTTCTCGTGACAGCGGGACAGATGCTTCTCAGGCAAATGCTGCTTTGGCTGCAGGAAGGGCAGCGACACAGCGAGACTCCACTCTAACGAGAGGACAAAACTAGATTTAACATTTCATTAAATATTTTGCATCGTTTTAAACGTAGAGTAGCTCAACGAGAAGTAAAATCCGGCTAGGTTTGTTGTTGTTGTGTTCCTGTGAAGATGGGACAGGAGCGCCCGGCGGAGTGTGCGTGATGCCGCACCAACAGACGTCAGTGAGGCGGTGAACAGGGTTGAAAAGGCACGCAACTCTCTGGGTATGCTAATCCAATATGAACTCATTTAAAGAATACTGTAGAAAATGTTTAGGATATTATAGCCTGTCTGACACTGTAATTAGACGCCTCTTTCATTGAAGTGAAAAAAGGTTATATTTTGAAAAGAACATAAGAACTGTAATTATTATTATTTTTTTTTTTCCAAAAAAAGGTATCATGCCTTTTCCCCCTTATGGTCAAACCAATTAATACATTTATGGTAAAATTCATCTTTATAATCTATTTAAAGCGTTAAATTTGGCAGATTTCTAGTTTACTTTTTATTTTTGCACATCAGTGATATCTGAATTTGAAAGAATCAATGTACTCTATTTGCTAAAGATAAAGCTCCTCCTTAGCTTCAGCTTCCTAAGCCTCATCTAAGCAGCATTCATGATGTGTCTACCTGAATGAACAGCACCACATTTCCTGCAGCTTTGATGTTATTTTTGTTCCAAAACATACCTTTTAGAATAATGGCCAAGTTTTCAGATTTAATTTGGCCCAAAGCTTCTTCTGTGTGACTTTCAACCTCATAGATTATACATTTGTATTAGTTTATCCATTTGAATTGTGCATTAAAGGTTAATAACAATTTTGAAAAAACTTATAATCCCAGCTATTATTATATCACAATGAAAAAAGCAATAAACACATTTGAAAGACATTCTTAATTTGAACACAGAAAATTCCAAAACTATTTACATCCCTGCTAAAATTAACGTTATAATAGTCTCTTAATTTTAATCTTTGAAAGGAGCTAGAGATTAGATGACAAGGAGACCTTTAAACTTGTACCTACAGACTTGTAGTTCATCAACAAAGACAAATCCATCTGTTTTTAAGGATGATATATTACAGGGGAATATTTGGTCTCTTCCAGACTGTAAAATAATGCAATAATCAGAGGTGAGCTTTACAGATTTCCTCTAAATGACTGGTATAAACTGTAAGTTAAACCACTGAACGGTGAGATTAAATCAGAGGGTGTTTCCGCATGTTAAAACTTTTCAAATTTGCGACCACGAGGATTTTTATTTTGTTAAATTGTCAAGAAAAAAATGCTAAAGTCATCTGATATAATCTATCATTAATTTTATATTTTCTACCATGAATTTTACATGTCACAGAACCTCCAAACCTTTTATATAGGCCTCAGGTTTGTAGTTCTCTGAAGATAAGGACTGCTATCCCATCATCTTGGTGTATACTTCATTAAAATCTAGGATGCCCCACCATTCTATTAATGTCAATTAATCCAGGAACACATAATCTCAACAGGAAAATCTTTTTAATCTATATGGTTTGTAAAAGTCAATCATCTAAGCATTAGGACAATTTGCTGTCTGCATGCAGCCCTGTTGGTGAGAAGTGATGGCTGCTTCCACAGAGGTCACTGAGCCTTCAGGACAAATAAAGATGCTTAAAGGAGAAGCTGAGGGGTGCATGGGTGACGACCATAGGAGACGAGTCATCCTGCAGCGAAATGGGTGAGAAAATGTCTTAGTGTCTTCAGTGGTACTAGCCAGCTCTCTGTCTGCAAGTTTAAATTCAAGTCTTTCTTTTTAAGTCATATGTTTTAATAACCAGAGCCTCTTCAGAAATTCTCTCTCACGTTCAAGGTTTAGTTCAGCTAAAATAACTGTTGAAGTTTAAAACTCATTATTTTTATTTTGCATCATTTAAAAAAACCCAACCAAATAGTACAGAAAGCAAGTATTAGTGTTGTATATTATGTATAATATGGTCTCAGGGTAACCACACTGGGATGTGTGCAGTGGTGGAAAAAACAAAACAAAACAGAAACATTTTATGTCAATATGTCGCCCTCTACAGGCTGAATGATGTCACTGCTGGGACCACCACCACAGTCTTTGCCATAGAGACCCATCAAAGTAAGTAAAGATATGCAAACACCAAACAATATCTCTTTCAAATGTTATCAGCTTATGAAAATAACCTCTTTTATAAAACATCTGAGTTGATATCTGCATTACCTGATCTTCTTGTTGGCTGTTAAATCACTTGACTTTCTAACAGTGGATATAATCATTCTTCCTGCAAGAGATCACTTTTTTGTTTTTGCTGTGTCCTGTAAAGGTGACTGTAAAGCAGAGGGAAGAAAGACGGAGTACGGCTACCCAATCACTTGTGGAGAAAGCAGAGCTGTGCTGCTGTTTAAGAAGTTTGTGTGTCCTGGGATCAATGTTAGATGCGTTAAGGTAGGTCGATATGCTGAGTCTTTCCATGAAGTGCTGATTTATTACTACAATCATTCACGGCCAGGTTGTACTTTTTACCTGCATTGCTTTCCCATTAGACTGAAACTTCCTCTAACTTTCTAAGCATTTGAATCAGGGAGTAATCAGGAAATCAGGAAATGTTCTGGGGCCATGAGTTCAACTTCCACTAAACCAAAACAACAAAGAAACAAGAATCACATACTTTTAGAGCATGTTGAATTGTTTTCTATGAAAAAACAATTAATCACTCTTAAAGAGCTCTCACATTTTCTGAAGGTTGTGACTAGAATTACTGCATCATCACTGGAACATTATTTAACATGAAAAATATTAATTAGTTGGGAAAAATAACCATATAACATCAACAAAAAAACATTGTTTATGGCATCTCTTTTGTTTCCTGCCGATTAATGAAAATGATCGTAATTGAAATTGAAACTATTGCGTGATAGCGCAGAAGAGAGCAACAATAGTTTCATGATTACCATACAGATTAAACAAAAGAAAGGTACGTTTTTATTTCCATTATATTTCTCCAGATACCCAATAACTTAAGATAAACAAATAAACCAACAAAGGAGATCCTTTTAAACAGCTGTAAATGTTTTATTTAAAAGAGATGTTGACAGTATTTCTTACAGAAGATGAAAGAATATAATTTAGTCTTGCAGAAGTTGAAATGTTGCCTCGTGATAAGATAGCAAATACCCAACTATTAAACTTATAGTACTAAAACGTTATTTTTCGGGGGGTAATTTGGGCCTTTTTAAAAATTACACTGTTATCTATTAAAAAGAAAACAAATGAAGCAGTAGCGTCGCAGCACAGGTAACACAGGTGTGTCATGTTACTGTGTAATACGTAACATGACACTCTTCATCCCCATTGACATTTACGACACATACACTTTGACAGGACAGGACTAAATGTTTCAGTTAACATTTAGATCCATCTAACATACATTATCTGATACCAATATGTATAACTAGATTATAGCCTAATTTTCTTTGTCTAACAAGAGTAAAGATAATAATTTGTAATTTTTCTTGTTTTTTTGTGTAAAATAAAGGTATAGTGGAGGATGTTCTTTTTCCGGGTGGACCATCAAAATAAGTGGTCTTCCTAATTGTCAATCATTCTGGATATATGTTTACGTAAGGCAGTCCTACGTGGTCGTCTCTATGTTCATAGTGGAAAAATTGCAAACCTTCTTTTGGAAAGTAATCTTGTATGAGCGATGCAAAAAGCAACTTCAAACAGAGTGTGCACCAGGAGAAATCAACTAGTGCACACTCTCACACGTGTTTAATAGACGTTCCCTCTCGGGTGCAGGTACAGGGTTGTGCATGTGCATTTTTTTTTTTTAAGTGGAGAGGGCAGGTCTTTTGAAAAATCAAAATTGTTGAAATCTTCCATTATACCTTTAAATCTAGAGAGTCTGTTTATTTTTTACACATTAGCCTATTTTACACCTCCAACATTATCCATTGCTCCAATGCTGAATTATGTTGACTTAGACTTAGACAGATTATTTGTCATTTTGTTTACACAAGTGTAAAACAAAACAAAAACTTCGTTTGGAACTGCTCTCTGGACAGTTTCATCTTTTTAAAAGCGCAGCCTTAAAAAAAAAAAAAAAAAGAAAAAAATATATATATATATATAGATAGATAGATAGATATATCGATCTCTCTCTCTCTCTCTGTATATATATATATATATATATATATATATATATATATATATATATATATAAACATAGAACTGAAAATTTACAATTTTTTTTTGTAAAAATGTTGTATAAGGTATAATTGTTTAATAATGTATAATTATAATATTATTTATTACTAAATACTACTTTTATGCAGACATCAAACTTTTGCTGTTTCTTTTTATTGTTAGTGTTTTCGATTTCCTCTGTGTTTGTAACAGAAATCTTCAAGGCTTGACTTTTCTTTTTCTATATCCAATTTTCTCCAACTTCATTATTTTTCAATTTTCAAGCCATATGGCTCTCGGTTCCCTGTCTCTTTGTGTTTTGAACTTTAGTCCACCTTTTTTTTCTTACTAACCCTTTTCAGTTTGTACCTCTGCCAGCTTTTAGGCTTCCAGCACACTTGGTTAAATTCCCACTTTAAAAGATTTGTAGACATTTTTCCCTATTGTTCCAGCTGAAGGATGTTGTGTTTGGAAATATTTTTTCATTGAAGATTTTCTTCAGTTCAAATTTTTTAAAGAACTTTTGTTCAGCCAATGTTCAGATGGTTCATGTGTGTCGAATCTGTGATTTTCCTTTTTTCTTTACAAAACAAAATGGATGAATAAGTATCCTCCGTTTACAGGGATCCTATACTTCTATTTGCTCTCCTCACCTTTTGTCTGTTTATACCCCATTTTTCAGGGTGTATCCTAACACATTTGTGGTGATGTGTTAAGTTTTATATTTCTTGTATGGTTGGTTTAACCATAAATTATTCTGGTGAGATAATCACTACATGGGTTAACAGCCTGTTTTACTGTTTACATGGCATAAATTGCTCGCTCTTGCTTTTTACAGTTCAATGACCAACTCATTAGTCCCAAGCAATTTGTAGACTTGGCAGGAAAAGCAACTCTGAAGGATTGGAAGAGAGCCATCAGAGTGGGAGGGGTTATGCTCAGGTAAGCTTATGAAACATTAAAGAAACATCTGTCTTCCTCTTAACCTCATTATTTTGTCCTTCTTGTGGTGACTGCCATGTTTAATAGTTAAATGCACATCAGTGTCTTGTGTAGTGCTTTTAAAAGTATTCACACCCCTACTTTCTAAATGTGTTCTTTTAATCTTTACTATTATAGACTATCAAAAGCAATAGGAGTAAATCTAAAGGATTTTGTTGTATATTGTATATTTAGCCCCCATTTTACTCTGACACCCTTCAATAAAATCTGTTTCAACTGGTTGCCTTCAAAAGTGAGTTAGTAACTGATCGGTTTGAGTGTAATTTGATCCCAGGACAACTATTAGGTTTAAACTCCACAAATCTGGCCTTGGTGTGGTGACAATACCGCTTTGACACATGCAGATGGCAACATCAAGCTGTGGGAACGTTTTGCTTCCGTATGGAAAGGGAAGCTGGTTTACATTAGCTAAGAGGCTACGAAAAAATGTAAGAATGGTACAGAGGTTCACTTTCCAGCAGGACAATGACACTAAAAAGCCAAAGCTAGGATGCAATAGTTTATATCAAAGAATATTCATTATATGAAATAGTCTAGTCAAGTTTAGTCCTAAATGCAAGTAAAAGTTTGTAGTGTGAATTTTTTTTTTCCAGTCTCCACCCAGTCTGAACTCAAACTGGGCTATTTTGCAATGTGTGGTTCTAGACCAAATTTAACAGGAAGGCCAGGATGGGGCCGGAGGTTTATCATAGGGACACAAAAAAAAGAATGAAATGCAAACATCAGGATAAAAGCCAGTTCTTAAATATATGAAGGGGGCAAAAGAGAAAAAACTGCGACCCAATCCTAAGTGCAACACCTTAATTTTAAATCATCCTTAAAGGAGATAGCCACAAATTTAATTCCTCCAGGTGGCGATGCTACCCTGTTAGTTAGCAAACTTTTAAGTTAACTGATGGATACATGTATAAAATACATATATATATATATATATATTTACATTTCTTCTTTTTTACAGTCTCTCTGTGGATTTATTTTTTTATTGATTGTTTTGATGAAAAAGTTGTAGCTATGACCTTTAAAAGAAAAGAAAAACATTAAAGCATATTCATAAGGAATTGATTATGTATTTATATTTCTTCACTACAGGCCCCTATCTAGAGCATCATTTAGTGAATTTATGGCTTTAAATCTAGGGAAAGCGACTGATAGGAAAATATTCCCACACAGTATTGACTTTAGGAGTTGTATACACACACACACACAGCCACAGGATCACTTTGTCAGTTACATAGTTTTTAATTACAAACGATATTTAATTAACATTAAACATATCCTTGCTACTTTGTGTAGCTTTATCACATAAAAACCCAACAAGTCTGTGGTTGAATTGGGACACAATGTAAAGAATTTCAAAGAGGTTTGAATAAGTTCACCATTCAGGTCGTCAGAAAGCACTACAGGATCTTTTTATGTAAGATCCATCTGCACGTCTCTGTCTCAGTGTCTATCTACATTCCAGGGGTGGTGGGTAATCAGAAGTGTGATGATAGCAGGATCAAATGGCTAACATATAAGCCTTCAAGCGGCACTTCTCACCTTTTTATCGTGTTTGCACTTGCTGTTGGTGTTGCTGGGAGGCAACACGTAAAACCCAACAGGCGGTATCAGCTCTTTTCATCTTCATTCCCCCAGAGACCTGACCGACAAGCTTTTGCATCAAACAAAATAGTGAGACCAAAAGTCCCTCATGCAACTGGAAAAGCTAAAAAAAATGTGTTTTCTCAAACATATTTTTGTAACCCGCTTGTTCCCCTTTGCAGGAAAATGATGGACTCTGGCCAGATAGATTTCTACCAGCATAAGTCCATGTGCAGCAACACCTGCCGCAGCACCAAGTTTGATGTGCTGATGAACAGCACGCGGCCTCCTCCAGGGACCTTGGTGGAACCGAGCTTGTTGTGTTCGGCTCTCGAGCCTGTTGGAGGACAGCTGCCTGCTGTGACAGGTAGATTACAGTTGGCATTTAAAGTTTGCAGTTTTTATAGCAGCCACATATTCTTAACCTACTGCTGAAGGTTTGAAAAAAGATGCAAAAAAGTTTGAAACCTTTAAAGGTTTTTTAAGGCAAAAAAAAAATTAATTCTGCATAAACATGATATATGTAGACCTATAATAACTAGATATATCTCCCATGTTCCCATTTAAGGAGAAACGGGTGATGCAGATGTTGTAGAGGAGAATTTGGAGAAAATGTTTATTGCAGCAACAAAGCAAAGAAATGGTTCAACACAACATGTAAGCTCAACAGAAATCAATGGGCATCCTTCTAAGATGAAGAGGACTGACAAACTCTGTAAATAAAAGATTAAATTATGTGTGTTAATCCAATGTTTATGTTCATTTAGTCCCTTGGTTTTCACCTGCTGGCCTCAATAATGCCATATGCTCTTTTTATTCTCTGGTTCAGTGTATTTTGGTACAGATTATAGGTGTTATCATTACTTCTACTGATAAAATATAACGAAAAACATGCATAATTTAAAAGGTAATTGACACTATCTTTGGGAGGTTAATTTTATTCAGAAAATCATTGAAATTGAACCTGTCTGAAAACATGAAGCAGGATCCAAGTTATCAGAGAGCAACACAAGCTGCCATAGCTGGAAGAAGTTAGAAAGAGATGAGAAAAAGTCAGTGAGGTTTATTATTAAAAAGTTTTGGTTTCTTATGTTTTTAGGATCTAACCAACCCACAGTGAGAAACATTATCCCCAAATAGAGACAAGACGCATCATGCTTAAAATTCCTCGGAGCAATTAACTTATACCAAATCACTCCTAGAGGTCACATAACAACCTAAAAAAACATCTAATTCACTACAGGCCTTACCTGCCTCAGTTGAATGCACCGTTTATTGTTTAACATTAAAACAAGGAGCAGGGTAATGGGAGCTATGGGAGCATTTCAGGTCGAGTGATGAGACAAATGTTGAACTGTTTATAGAATGTGAATGCTGTTAAACTGTTGTATAAAGCTTATACAGCATTTCAGAAAAAGCATATAATCGGATCAGGAGTTGAATACGGTGTTGGCCGTGCTCAGTGACCCAGACGACTTTGCATTATTGGTTGAATCATTCTGCTTCCACTAGGAAAGGAGAAAGTCAAGCAAGCAGTGCATCTCAGATCTTAAGCTAAGGTGCACTTGGATTATAACAGAGTACAATGATCCAAAACACAACAGCAAGTCCACTTCTGTACAGCATTAAACAGTTTGGGTGGCCTAGTTCAAGTCCAGGTTTAATCTGACAATAATAATAATAATTTAACTTTATTTATCTCACACTGCAGACATTTACCTCTGCATTTAATCCATCCCCTTGGGGAGCAGATGCCTGCCATCATGGGGCGCCTGGGGAGCAGTGTGGGGTTAAGGGTCTTGCTCAGGGACCCAGAGTGGAGGCTGTGGGGATCAAACCGGGTACTTGCAACCTTCTCAGAGCACAAGCGCACTGCTCTAACCCACTAGGCCATCACTTCATTTTGATCACTATTAGAGAACTGTAGCAGCATCCTGTGATGATCAAGTGTTTATAAAAAACATCATTTAAAGGCTTTTATGCAAATTTGACCAATAATTCTGGAAGTTGCCTTATTTTTTATTTTGTAAAAATTAAGTTTTTTTCCCCACTATTCCAAAAAGATAATTTTTCAAGAAAAGAGATCTGTTACAGGACAACTAGTTATAAAGATTGACAAAACTTTTGTCTACCGATTGCTCTGGTCTAGCTTCGGGCAACCACAAAAGGTTTGACCTCCCTAACCCAGCCAGCCAGCGAACCTCTGAATCGGCAGTTGTGGGACGATCCTGACGACTTGCCCTTAAAAAGTTGCTGACCACAGTCAGGGAAAGAGTCATGTCCATTTATAAAGCCGCCGACAGCAGCTGACATTTCCAGCTCTGGCCTTTTTACTTGCGATAGCAGCAGCTTTGATTGAAAGACTTTTAAAGGTGACCTAATGAGGCACTGTTCCAGGTGGAGCTAAGTCAGTAAAACAACCCGACAACGACCATGATGATGATGCCCTGAAAGGCAGGTTGAAGCACCTCGCTCTAGATGCAGTCTTGCTTGTCACTGAGTTTCAAGTAGATAACTCTCAGCAAGCTAATCAGCCTCTTGCTCTCTTCTTCAAATCTCCTGAAATGTGCTTCACTCTAGTTTATATTCCCCTCATGAAGAAATAAATTAAACAAACTTAGAAATGTAAATGGGAACTGGAACACTTTCAAATATTTTACCACCGTGACAGAAGTTTAAGCAAACATCAGTGGGCATACATTCATTTCCTCTTAGATAACACATCTCACATGCTTTGCACCTCTTCTCTTCAACGTATCTCCTGGTTGTATCAGTTTTGTGCCAAATTCAAGTTATATTTCATTCCCCTTCAAATCCGTCCTGCCCTCCTTTCTGTCTTCCCGGAGCTTCTCTATCCTAACCCATTTCCTCCTCTTTCCTCTCAACATCTGTCGCCTATCTAACAGCCTCTCTCCTCCACTTCTTTTTAAATGGTTTCATCCATCTATGACATCTAGCTCTATCTTTTCATATGTTTTTACTTGAAATCTCAGACCCAGATGTCCCCTTCTTTCTCCTTCACAGCATATTTTTCACAGATAACATTAATCTTTACCATATTTCTTTACAGTTGTTTTTTGGCAACCCACACTGGAATTCATATCCTCATCTATATCAAATCTATTCCGGTGCATTTATGGCTTTATCTCATCTCTCTGTTCCCACTTTTAAACCTTCTAATGGAGAAAAAAAAAAAAAAAAAAAAAAAACGACAAAACTCTCATATACATCCTGTAACTGATCCTCTCTAGACGAAGTGATGAGTCTTTGGCGAGGCGTAGCAGAATCTGGGCTGATTGGCGACGTACTGTCTGGTCTCTACTCCAAACTGGTGACCGCTCTTAAAGGTGTGGAGCTTCGCAGTGAGAAGGATAGCCTGCAGGAGACAGGTAAGTTCCTCAAGAGTGTGAATAGATTAATAAATAAAATTTATGTCACATTATATCTACATAGAAAACACAGCAGATAAGTGATAGAAAACTTTGAATCAATTTGACTGTATGATCTGGTTGAACTGTAAAGTGCCTTGAGATGACGTGTTGTGAATTGGTGCTATATAAATAAAGTGAATTGAAATTGAATTGAATAAGTCAAAGGCAAGGCTGTAGAAAAAAATGGGAGCAAGGGTAGGTTAAAAACAATGTATTAAGCTTTTAACGCTTTATTGGACACTAATCATCCATCATGATCCATCAAAGTCCAGCCCCAAACATAATCAGACATAAGGGTCCGCTCATACAGACAAGTAGAGCATCAGAGGCAAGAAGCTGATGGTAACTCTGGAGGAGCTGTGGAGACATATACCCCATTTACACTACCATTTTGAAACCGTGCCGAGAGCGGTGTGAATACGGTAACCAAGATAACTGTTGAGTGTAAATGGACACAACCGAACCGCACTAAATCTAGTACTAGTTCAACAGTAGGGCTTGGCGCCAGTGTTGCCAGATGGGGCGGCTTTCATTTTGATTTTGAGGGTAAAAATTGCTTTGGGCGGATGGAGATAATTTGGGCTGATTCAGAGTCAGATTGGCGGTTTTTGAGTCTCCACCAGACTGTCCACCAGTCATTCATCATTACTGGTTCATAGAAAAGCCTCCCTGACCTTTCTCCATCACTGATTAGCTAATATCATCTGCAACAGTGTTTACAACAAAGAACTTGTGCAGCGGTGCCACTAACTGTGCTAGTTTTAGCATCAGGTGGATCTGGTGTGATAAACCTCCCGCTGATGATCGATGCGTTCTGTTGGAAGATGAATCTTTTAAAGATGCTGGAGGAAACCACTGCTTTCAGGATTTTGTGCTTGGTGTATTTAAACTCCTCACCCTCCCTATATCCAGTGCAACAGTTGAAAAAGCCTTTTCACAAGTCCAGAAATCGCATGGGCCTGCCGCTCCTGTCAAGGTTGATGAATGTGTGAACTGGATTAATACGGAATCGCTGGACATCAGCAACATTTCATCCTCTCCAGCAGTTATTGGGGAGATTTCATTCCACCGTGTACTGATCACAAATCACAATGGATTGTATTATAGTTCATCTGAGTAAAAGTTTAGCGTTCAGAAGTTCAATATTCCAGCCAACAATCTAATAAGCATTAAAGGTAAGAATTCAAAATCAACTATAATAAATTGAATTATTTCAGTTATGTAAAAATAAGCTTAGCATATTTGTGTGTGCACACTGATTGTAGTTTGTCTTCTAAATGTAAAAAGAGGAGTAGTCTACGTGGTTATGAATCGATCTGCAAGCATGTTAGTAGATTTTCTTGGATTGGGTAGTACTGGCCTAGTGGTTAGGGCTTGGAATCCCGAGGCTCTGAGTTTGAGCCCCACTCCCACAGCCTGCAACTCTGGGACTTTGAGCAAGACCCTTAACCCGACACTTCTCCCTGGGCACCGCACAATGGCAGCCCAGTGCTCTCAAAGGGGATGCGTTAAATGCAGAGGTAAATTTCTCCAATGTGAGATCAATAAAGTTCAATTATTAAAAAAAACATTATTATGAATTGCAGCATTTTGACCTGTAGTGTTGAATTAAGTTGTACTGAAGTGTGTTCATGTTCACACAGTAAATATAACAATACATTAATTGGGTGGGTTTCTGTGCGATGTGGCGGCTTTTAACAAATGTTTGGGCTGGAAAATCTTAACTCTATCTGGCAACACTGTTCGGCGCGGTTCAGCTGAGGCTCGGTTCTCTGATAACAAAGAGCGCACCAGCAGACCGCGTCATCTCCTATTTACAGTCAGCTTCCACTAGTTGGCTGTAATGCACATCAGTAAGTTGCTTGCCAAACGCCATAAAACAGAAGAACAAGAACTGTAAACATCAATTGAAATCTTCTCAACGCTTCAAAAGAGCCCCACTGTCAGCAAACCACAACATATCACAATTATAACCAAACATAACTTCCTGAATGTTACGGGTGTCACCATTTTCTTGATTCCCTCCTTCAGTCCTAGCAGTAGTACAGTAGGTCGTCCCTCGGCGGTGAGGGAACGAGCTTGGATCAGTTAACCGCGCCAAGCTCGGTCCGAATGGATTGGTTTCAGAGGTTTAGAGCTCTGGTAGAAGATTCTCTTGTTGAAGGTTTAAAACTCTGGATCGGTGGAAAGAAGAAAACCATTGTTAAGGGAAAGCTATGAGAAACTCTGTTAGCGTTGTAGGAAAATGGTTAACATGTGGAAAGAGATGCTGTAGTTGAATAAGGAAACTGAACTTTTACTTTTTTATGTGTGTCAATAAACTATCTCTCCGCATCAACTTTAAGAACTTCCCAAATGCCCCACAATGAAAGATGGCGGCAGGATTATGCTGTCGGAGATGCTTTTATGTGGGGGGACAGAGAAGACGGTTATAAATGATGAGAAGACTGATAGAGGTAAAAGAACAGGAAAACATTTTAGAGAAGCAGAGGTTCATCTTTAATCAGAATAATGATGGTAAACTTAATGACTAGAAGCTACAATAAAGATTTAGTTTAACACTTTTAACTGGATTGGCCTAATTAAAGTCCAGTATCAAGACAATTTTCAATCTGTGGCTGGAAAAACTATTGTTCTTGCTTCCTTTTTGTTCCAGTCTGACTATGAAAAAAATCTTCAGCCAGACAGACCTGCAGCTGTAATTGCAGCATAAAGCAAACACTGGAAATCTATGTTTCATTTTCATGTGGTCTCAAAATGTTGTTACCTGTAAAAATCCCAATAAAAAAACAAAAAGATTTGAAATTCCAGTATGACAAAATAAAAAATAAAAAGGTTCAGTGGGGATAAATAATTTTGCAGTCATTATAATTTTTAGGCCATTATAGGAATAGAAAGGTCTGCTTAAAAAAAGTTAGCTCATCATTGTTAAAATAATTGATTGGTGAATAAATTGTTCATCTTAGACGATTGTGTACAATAAAAAAAAAAAGATTACTCTTCATTATTTTTTCTTACTGTTTTGTTTTGTTAGATGCTCTTATACTTAACTCCCTGTGTGAAATGTTTGGGCTTCTGGACTCCGTGAAACAAGCTCTGGCCCTCAGGTGCACCCAGAACCAAGAGAGTAACATCCATCACGGTGTGTACGGTGGGAACGCTGCCAGATCCAATACACGGCTCACACATTGATGCCCCCAGTGGATTGTACTAACTGTTATCTTGTTTTATATAGTGCTGGAAGAAGTCTCAGAGGAACACCAGAAGCAGAGCTGCAATCAAAGAAGATCTTATAAAATTTCATCCTTGAAACACCTCCGACCTCACGGTCAGAGCCAGCAGAAAAGATGCGTGCACAACCTGCTGTCGAATGAAAGGACGAATACAGTGATCTATCCCCTTCCTTTTACTGGCTTATCTGCTTCATCTCACGCTCAGGTCTGCAGCCATTTCTCTGCCCCCGCTGGCCAGAGTCACCTTCTTGGAGCCGGCAGGACAGACGGAGTGAGCCAAAGTGGCAACGAGAAAAAAGATACCTCTGGAAAGAACAAAGGGACGAAACAGAAAACGGAGCTTCTTGTTGGAGATGGTCTGACTAGATATGAGGAGGCGAAAAGCTCACATGACACTGAGAAGCTTAAGTAGATTCTAGCAGCCCTTACTGAGAGGAAATGAAGAGACTGAATAAAGAGCTGCAGCAAAGATTCCACACTCTGCTTTTATGATGTAAAACAAACTTCCCTGATTAGGAGGTATTCTGGCTGTTAGCATCTTTAGATGTATGGTAGGTATGCAAATCGGTTTGCACAGAAGGTCTAAAAATTCCCTAAAAAATATCCAGAAGAGTGTCTTACCGGAGGTTCTAACCTTCCCAGCTAAAAACTTAAGTAATAAAAATGTATTGGCTGTCTGATCTATAATGTGCATTGCTTTTACCCTGATATATTGTTTTTCCATTCAAGTCTATTCATTTTTATTTGCTCGAATTCACATCAAGCATAATTTAAACTAATTTTACTCGACAAATAACTTAGGGTCCAGTGAATCTTAAATGATCTATAAAACATACAAAGAATCTAACCCTATATTCTACTGAAGATCCTTTCACATTGACTTATTTAGTCCAAAGTATAATGCAGTACTACTAATTCACTTTATTATTTTAAGTACTGTTGGTAACAAGTTAAATAGTGTTTTTAGTTGCATTGCACTCCCTGTTTTGCACTGTTCACAATTTTGCAGTAATCCCTTATCATTAGCAAGCAAGTCGGTGACAATGGAGCAGACCCATTCTCTATAAACAGGAAGAAACATGTGACAGAACCTAGCCGCAATAAGTGGTGGCCAACTGGGGGTTTTGGAAGAGTGTAATCAGCTAACCAGCTGTGCTTTCTGAGGATAGAAAAACAACAATTTTAGAACGTTTCACCTATAGATGACTAAGAAGTACTTAGGTTTACTGTTTCAGACTAAACTATTTTTATACCATTTTTAAGCATAATTTTTGGCACGCATCATATGGTGATTGCATAATACACTCATTGATGAGCTATAATACATTACCGGTAATTCATAATTTTCTATACCCTATTTATTAGCCATCTATAAGGGGATCCCAAAACAGAAGCATAATCGGAGGGTTGTCTATCAGAAAAAGAAGACACTAAGAAAATGCAATTAGTGTTTTGAAATAAAGCTATGTTAAGCATTATAATGGACATTTATTATTGTAAGGATTAGGTGTTTGGTTGGTTGGTGGGTGGGGAGTACCATGCTGTTTTCAAGTAGTTAACTGAGACTGCTAAAAATATTACTTGTCTGTTGTAACTCTACCACTCTTTTCTCCTCTTATGTCATAAACCAAATATTACTAAATGGTTAGTTTACAGAACACTGTATACTTTTTATATTATTAATTTAAAAACCTATTTTGTATGTGTTGTAAATTTGCTGCAAATGTTTGCACTATTTGAATTGGAGGAAATCTTAAATCCAAAGACTGACTTGATGTTTATTTGAGGGCTAAAAGTGCCACTTAATCAATACATTAAATATTAAATAACATGAAAAGTAAATAAATAATAAAAATAACAGAAAAGATATTTTTGGATGGATGGATATTTTTTAAATACATGAATTAAACAAAGATTTCTTGTTTTAAATATTTTTGTCAAACTATGGGGTGTATTTTCATCATTTATTCATTTATTCTTCTGGTACGTGCAGAGTGAAATCATGGGTTTGAATGTTGGTTTTACCACACAAGTTATATTGACTAAAACAGTGGTAGCCCTTCTTACACTAATCTTTGAGACTGATGGATAACATAAATAAATTACAAAATAATACAAGCATGTCATTACCTAATGACTCTTTGATTACTTAAATGTACATTAGATACAGGTACTCACAATATAATAGAGGTTTATTTATTTTAATGTCTATTGAATAAATCATATTTTATAGGTTTTTAATTTTTAAATAAATCATACTTAAAATTTAAGGATTCACTTGTTTTGTTATTTATCACTTTACAAATAATTTTGAACTTTAGATCAAATCAGTTCATGTGCATCCGAGATTCCCTGAAGAAAAGGCTTTATCACATCTTTTGCATGTAGTCTATACCTCCCTGCTTTAGTGTGTATTTAGTTTCCAGTTGTTAGTTATAACAAAATAATAAAATCCAAATAAAGATAAAAACTGGCTTTCAAAAAGACCAATTACACCTAGAATGATCTCATCGGATAATGATCATATTTTGAATCGGAATCAAATGTAGTGTTAGAGTTTTTTTAAGGAGCTAACTTCACACGCCTCCGGCTATTGATTCTTTTATCGTCAGGCAGCTGATGAGTGTTGCAAATGCTGATGGACTTATTGACAGCCCACACAGGAAAAGAGCTAAAGGCGGGTAAACAATGAATAATACATCAGGTCAATTTTATTTGTACTATACTGTTCTTTTTATTTTAAAAGCTTTGACTTTACTTCACTTCCACTTCTTTTCTCTGATTTAAATACACCCCCTCCTAAGACATACGCTACAGTGTAATTTAGCTTAAATAAATTACCCTTTCTGATCCATAATTTACTAACCCTACTAACACAGATGTCATGTTGCCTAAGGAGACGCTTTTTTCCATATAACTATACCCCCTCCTTTTTTTTTTCCAGTGATGTTTTCCTGTTTTTGTTCAGCGCAGCTCTGCATGCCCAGGCTGCGAGATAGACACTGATGGTGTTGAAATTGACAACTTCTCTCAGAACTGTGATGATATGTTATTACACATTGGCATGTGGCACAGCCTGTCCAGATGTAGGTGTTTGTCCGGGGTTATGAGTGGCAGTCGATAAAGCGTCTGATAAAATGACTATCATCACGGCGCATCTCTGCTGACACCTGTCCTGCCGTTTGAATTTAGCAGTGTTTTGCAACATCACATTACTGCACATTAAAATACGTTGCAGCAAAATGCATTCCAGTCAAAACACTTCTTTTGTTTTAATAAATGTCCTTTAAATGCGTGTCTGTCACATGTAAAGCAGGTGTAATAACAGGTTTTTACTTGACATTGTGTTGTTCTCTTTCCATTAATCAAATTACTCTGAGTACGATGGTTTGTTAATTCAGGTCTTACAATATTAGAGTCAATTAATGGTGAACACCTTTAATTTAATTTTCAGCTGTAATGTCCACACATTGCAGCTAATTAAAAGATGTATAGCCAGTTTAACTGAGTCACAGTTAAATGCGTTATCCCAAGGAGAAGTGGCTCTGATGGTCCTTTTGTTTTTTGCAATAAGTTAGCATGGAGAGCTAAGAGAAAATGTTTTACCCATAACATTTTGTTTTTTACTAATTTTGCTTTCATGTCACTTAGACGTTTGAAATCAACAAACATTTTTAGTCAGGATTTTAGAGATTTAACGGGAACAGAACAGAAAGCGTTCAAAAACCAACCTGGACAATTGCCCATTTTGTTACATTTGCATTTACTTTTCATTAATCCCATTTTTTTTTATTTGTTTTACTCGCCACACCCAGCTCTCATTTCTAATAGACCTATTAAATCCAGAAGTCACTGAAATAGAAACCGTCTGGCTAGATATAGCAAGGTAATACATCTCAGAGAGCAACACATCAGGCGCCTAGGAAAAGAAATTCAACATCATTTGAGAAAAAAGTTATAGACGTTTAATTAATCAGCTGTCATGGATCAAAGGTGCTCTTCCAAAATTCATCAAGAGGCCATAAAAAGATGTAGAACAACATTTGGAGTACTTCAGGCTTTCACTTTCATTGATTTACAAATATTCACGATTCATCCTCCGTATGAAACACCAATGGTTGTTTTGGTTAACTTGGATTAGGTTTATTTAATAGACAATCTCTCTTAACAAATGAAATCATTATTTAAGTAAGAATTTCGGATGGAAATATAATCCCAGCTCGTCTAGGTTTGAACTTCTATCAAAAGTAAGCTTTTGTCTCAGCACCTGATTACACCAGGGTTGTGTTCAGTTCAGTTTAAGGGGAGATCTTGACACAAGAACAGTTTGCGCAGCTGGAAAGGTCACTCAGACAGGAAGACTCTTTGTTCTGGTTCAGTTTGTTGTATGTCTGAAGGTTGACTCACTTCACATTTGAAACTGAGACATACACAAAGAACAAAGTCAGTGAAAAAGGAAAAAAAAACTTTGCTGAAACTTTATATAGTCCTAGATCAAAACAACAATAATTAGCTATCATCACTGGAAATCAAGAGGGACATTAGAGCGAAGTATGAATGGGCTGGATAGGATTTCTTACTCTGAGGTTATGAACTAATAGCTGCATCTGTAGCAGCTGTGGGGAAGAGAGTCCTAATGGGGACTTGATCAACCAATCAGAAATAGACAAAAAAAAAAAAAAAAAAAAAAAAAATTCAGTTGTTATTTTCTGTAACATTATTTAGACTATTTTGCAGAAAATAATATAAACTGTAAACAACCAATAAAAGATTTTAGATAGTTTTCTGCATGCAGAAAAAGTTTTATATTTAAGGTTTCCAACTAAGATTCCATTAAGGCAAATTCACTCTCTGCTTATAACAAGTTCAAATCAAACTAATCATTAGTCATTTTTAAAAATCATTTCCATTTTCTGACTGAATAAAATCAATTTAGAGACTTTTATTTATGCAAAACACTTCAAGATCAAAAACAAGGTCACAGTTTCAAGGAAAAGTAAAAACGTTGGGGCTGACTGAGCTTTTTTTGTGGTTGTACCACAGCTTTGGACTTAGCTTTGCATCTATACATGAACTTGGTCTTATCCAAGTTCAAAATTTTTTTTACAGATTATTATTACTCCTTACTTGTTATTCTTTCATCTACCTTGTTTCTAACCAAATTTTATGTTTTTGTTTTCTATTTGTGTGTGTTTGTTATTTATTGTATTTGTCAAGCACTTTTGTTTTCATTGTTAATATAGAAGAGGTTATACTAATAAATGAGTTATTAATTTAGTAGAAAAAACAGATAACTTGATATTGATATGAAGACCTTTGTTAAAATCTCAAATGCACTATATTTTCTTGATTACGTGCATCACAACACCACTGTCCATTCTCATACACAATTTGCGCAACAAGCCAACGACACACCAGACAAGCTTGCAAAGATGTGTCAGATCACGCACTTTGAAATAATTATTACATTTGTGCCATATGTTTGCATTTGGTTTGTGCACATTCCATTAGATCCAAAAGTGATTTCTGCAGTCCAACATTTCAAGGACTTAATAACACAAACAGCTGTTGGTAGAGATGGAGAAAAGTAACCCCATCAAATGCAAATTTAATACCCGCAACATGTCAACTCTCCTAATTTATGGAGAAATATGCCTTGCAGCTGTCATTGGAAGTTGCAAAGGTATGTATACTTGCCATATCTGAGAGAATATGAAACTCATTCTGGCTGTAAATTAAATATAAATAAAGGATATTAAAATTTTTTTGACTTTTTGGACTTTACAATATTCAGTACAAATTATTTATTATTTAAATGTATACAATTTTTAACAAGCTCTGTTAAGGTAAAAAAAAAAACCTAATCCATGTTATTATAATGAGGTTATTATAAAGACTGACATTATGAAATATTGTACAAAATGCCTCGGTGTCAGCCACATGTTAATATTTATGGCTAAAAATGTCACCCAGAGCCTTGGTGTAATGATCCTGCAATAGACAGCATGGGTTTTGCTGTTATTATTATAAGTTAGGGTTGCAGCATTAACCAAATGACAGGACAGGACATGTTTTGCTACCCAGTCTGGTATGACTTGTCTGACATCTCTACAAAAAAAAAAAAAAAAAAAAAAAGAATTGAGAAAATGTAAATGAATCTGTCACTATACAATTAATAATCATTAAATCAATGTGATATAAATGATGAAAAACACATTGTTTGTCATTGCTACTTCTACAGGGAAAGGTGTCTAATTGAAAATAATTCTAATGGGAAGATTTTAGGCAGGACTCCAGCTGTAGTTCATTTAAAAATGCTGCTGTTTGCCGTCACTGTCCTGCAGTTGTCGGAAATCACAAGTACATAGAAACCTGCTGTTACTGCTAACTGAAAATTTCAGCCACCTTTTCTGCTTTATTTGATCTGAATTTATCTCAGATGTCGGGCCTTTACTGTCTAAGGCATTCACACTGATTCACATTTTCCACAGTTGGAGACAGAACAGCTTCATTGGCTTTTTGTGGTTTACCAACAGAGAGTGCAAGCATACTGAAGGTTTTACAACTAAAAATCTCAACAAATATGGAATGCAATTGTATTGAAGCCCCTTTATTTAGATTCTCCTACATAAAACATAGAACCTCCAATGATCACCAAATTTCTGCTGCGTGTTGTCAGATCTTATATTGAGTACTACTGTGAGGTTTGTGTTGTATGTTAGACATTACCAAATGCATATTGGGGCTTCAGTTTTGGAAAAACTAAATAGTCTCAATGGTCATTTATTCTCAGTCTAAAAGCAGGGGTATAATGATAATGCAACATGCATTTTTCTTTATTCCTGTTTTTAGGGGCTGAATTTGATCATATCTTTAACTGCATGAAGCCGCTTTATTATGGAAGTGCAGGATATTAGAAAACCTCACAACAGAAATAGTGTTAGTGAATATTATGATGATGATATAATTTCTGATAAATACTTTACACCTAAATTCCTCTTTCCATTCTTTTCATGTATGTTTTTAAAAGTCGTTAAGCTTTAGCTTTTATTGCAACAGATGCTCTCCCTGGACTCTATCCAACTGGCTAGATGTTACATTACCATGTTAAATGCAAATTGCTTGATTATAAATTAACCAATAATTATTCTAAATACACTGATATAGCAAATAAGTTATGTTAACAATATGTTGTGCAGCCTTACTTTACCTCAAAGAGTAAGATACATCTCCTCCGATATGCTTATTGTAAATACAGGAGCTCCCCAAGGAGGTGTGACCTCTACTGTGTTGGTCTTTTTTTTTTTGTTATTCTTCCCAGCGAGCTGCTACTTGTGAATCCATATTGCTATTTGTATAAGTATGCAGATGACCTGGTGCTTGTTGGTCTTATGCAATTGATTTAGAAGTGGAAGATAGAAACAGACTGTCCAGAATAGCAGCATGGCTAATGAGATAATTGGTCCTAAGCAAAGAATGCTGGGAGATATGTGCAAACAAAACAAACAAAAAGCTCACCACCATCACCAAATTGTGGGTGACCCAGGTCAACCCCCCCCCCCCCCCCCCCCCCCCCCCACACACACACACACACACATACACACACATACAATCCCATTTGGTGAATCTACTCCCAACTGGAAGGAGATTTAGAGCATCCAGAGCCAACTACAATAACGTTTCTCAATTGACCAATATCTATGATCTTAATGGGTTTTTTCGTTTAGTGTTTAGTATCTCCTGGGCCTTGTTTTTTTTTTCTTTTTTCTATTAACCAACATTACAAAGAAATAAAGACACATTTTCTTATACGTGGTAAATAAAGCTGAACTTCATTTACTGTAAGGTTGATACTTTCATCTAATTTGTGTAATTTGTGTAATTTCTGAATATGATCTCAAGAAGCAACTCTTCTCGATGTGTATCTAGAAACCGGGTCCTGCCTGCAAATCTGAAGGGCGCTTATTTTCTTCCTTTTCTTTTTTTGAAATCATATATCTATTAGTCTAAATGGCCCAGTCAAAGTCTAGACTTAAATTAACCTCACGGGATCTTCACAGACACTTTGCATCTAAATTTGACTGTGGGAGAAAAAAGAACCCTTAGTTTTGTGGCTATATCTGCAATAGCTAGGCTTTTTTGTACACAGATTTATATTAGCAAAAACTGATATTTCTTCCACTTCACAAAACAATCAACGATTATGGTTGTGACATGACATAATGTGAAGAAACATATGAATACTTTAGAAATGTGCTGAAATGAAGTGGAGAACTAAAATGACCAGAGTCATGCTCCCAAAGAAAAAGACAAATATTTTTTTTTAATCCCACCCCTGAATGAAGCAGAACCAGATAAGATTTATTCAGCCCCCAATCTAATGGGAAGCTGTCATTTCAGTATCTGGCCACTTGGAGGCGCCCGACTCATGCTTTGAATGGAAAAGTTGAAGTGTGGGGAGCGAAAGTGGGCTTGGGAAAGCAAATTTCTCTCCTCAACTGTTTACCCTGACGTCAGTTTGCAGAAGTAGCTCTGCCCTGTCTCACTCCAGTGTCTCGGAAACTCAGTTAAGAAACAAAACTGAGGGAAATAGATGGGCTCTGCTTTGCTCTCTGCCGCCTTCCTGGACCTGACGGAGTGAATGAAATGACCTGTTCTTTCCATGTAAAGTGGACTAAAACATCTACACGATGAACACCTGCGCCTTTCTGCTCATTTTAAGTGTCCAGATCTACGCTGATGGCATCGAGGGGCCAACAGGTAAGACTGATGCAGATCTGAAGCGAAGCTGGGAAGTTTTTATTTGATTTTTATTCACATGCGTAAAGTCCAGAGAGGAGAAGCGGAGCGCGTCTGGTGAAAGATGACAACTTTGTGCCAAAAAACATCCTGCCTTTATCTATGGGGTTTTGTATGAATAAAACTTATTTATTATACTAAACCTAATCACATGTGTGCATCTTTATAAAAGCTGGGAAATGTTAGTTATTTAGAAATGCGTGCGGCTGAGCGCGCAGATTTTCCCCCAAAGCAAAACAATCCACCGCATCTATCTGACCTGCACCCTGTAAATTCCCCAGGGATACTAAAAATATTTGATTTGCATGGGCAAAATGAAACTAACTGAGAGAGAGAGAAAGTATTAAGTGCGAAGAATATATGAGTCAATACTTGCAAGTCTCTCAAATCCCCCCACATCCTGAATCATAGACTAAAAAGCTGAAGACTTTCCAGGCTGGAATCAGGTTGCATAGTTGATTCAGTGACTCCATAAAAGTTTGACATCCCACTGTGGGTTGTTGCATAGGAATCGTCATTGATTATATAAACCAAAATCTTTCTTTTTCTGTAGAGAAGTTTATCCCATCCTTTCCATAAGCTGCACATTTCCTTCTCCAAAGGTGATCACAAAAGAAAAACAAGATAACATAGAACCAGTGGAGGTTCCAGCATTTATTGCACCCCGTGCAAGCCCCTCCCTTATGCTCCCATCACCTCCCTTTTGCAAAAACCAGTAGCTTTTTATTACACAATATGACAGATCAATTAAAGACAAAAATTTACCTGCTTGAGCTACATATACATGAAGATTGAGCTCATGTAAAAGTCATTTTCTGATGCAGTTTTCTATAGTGATACATTTGATCTGATCTAAAACATGGACTCCCTTTTTTCTTCTACCCCCTACTAATTTTATTATTTATGCATTTTTAATTTCACATTTATATATTTATTAACCCTGGATCTACTGATTTGTTCAGCTGACATTTTACTAACTCCTATGATGTAAAAATGAGGGAGATCATCGTGTTTATAAGAAAACTGAATAGATATATAAGTAGAAATTTAGTTCAAATTTGATATGTCAAATTTAATGTTTTGTGTTTTCTGATCAGGTTTTAGGCATCTCTTAAAAGTAGAATATTTGATTTATATTTGATTATTCTGAATTACTCCAGAGTGAATAAAAAGACTGAAAAAGGCTGTTATTTTATTATCTAATTAGAGAGTTTAAATCGAATACTAAAAACACCATTTTAGTTGCTTTGTGCCACTGCATGCTGCCCACCAACAAAATTCTCCTTAGGGCAGTAAGCCATCCTGACCTTTAGATTCAGTTTGTGGTCCCAATTGCTGTTAAGGCTGTCATACACCAACCAGCACACTATTGAAGTCTATATGTTATTTTTTCCCAGCTTTTATTGTTATTACACTGTCACAAGTACAGAGCAATGAAATGAATTCTCAGGGACGCAGAGTGCAGTCTGTGGAGTCCCAGCTCTATGCCCTAACCACTAGGCCGCCACTCCCCCAGTTATTATATGTGCCACCTCTCTGTAAATGAACTATTAATGAAAGTTTAACCCCGAAATGTTTCTTATGAATCGCACAAAGTGAAGTGATTTGTTAGTGGTTAGAGAGCATTTGTGGCCTGGAGAGACACCAGAACCTGGTAACCTCAGGCTATCCTTCTGCTTCCTTAAGAAAGAGCCTTAAAGGGATAGTGCGTAATAAATTTGGCATTTCACTAGCAAAAATCAGAGTTTGCTTTAATAAAAATGTTTTCTACGAATGTCTAATGAAATCATATCAAAAATGAAAGCGTTTTCATATTTTGGAATTAGTAGATTATTAATAGATAGGAGCAGAACATCTAATGGGAGATGCCATTTTGTTTCACCATTTTTGATCAGTGTAGCTGAAAGGGGACAAAGTTGGCGGCCTTATACATTTAATCTGGATCTAAAAATGTGTTATTGGTGCCAGAGAAATTGAAAACAAGCAATGGAGGGCCATCTGTACTCTTTGTCCAGTGAGAGGCAATAGAATCAAGCAAAACAAGAAAACAAATTAATAAACGAGAAAAAGCCTCAGCACAACTTTTACCAAACCGGAGACAATTTATGAGAGAGCTGGGCTTCAAAACCAACACATATGTTGCAAGTTGTCTGCTGGACAGTTTATGTAATTCAGTATAATGATAAGGTTTATTTTAGCTTTCTTTTAGAAACAGAACTATAGTACTTTAAGAAATGAAATGAGAGTTAGATATAAAAATCAATAAAGTTATGGTGGCCTTTTAAGGAGGTTTGAGTAATACACCGCTATATTTCTATGAGTTTGCTGTGCACTGTTAGTCAGCTGCCTGAAAAAGGACTTTTGACTACCAAAAAATTATACACCCTTAACATCAAGCTATAACATCATTCACAGACTATGAATATTTTCCACAGTATTTGTAATTCTGTCATTGGTAAATCTTCTAAAATAATAGAATAGCCTAAATTATTTGAAATTTGTAATGAATAAACCTTTAAAGTGAATCTAAATGTATGTTTTCATCAACATAATGATGAAATTATAACTGTGGCATCTACCTTTTGGGCCCCCCTGCTTTCCTGAGGAGCCCTGAGAAAGCCTTCATGGCTGATTTCTTGGTCTGGCTCTTGGTCAGCAGCCTCTGGTTTCCTGGGGTTGTGGGGAGAGACAGAGAGGATATTTTTTCTTTTTATTTATTTCATTTCATGTTATTGATTAAACTCTGGCATTTCAGGCTTTTCCTGTATTGGTCTTTGATCTAGTGTTTCAGCTGGATAAAATCTTTTCAAGATTCAAATCAGTCTGGGAGGTGGACAAAGTGGCTGAAAATAAACATATGGGAAACCTTCTCACCGTCATTCAAATTCATGTATTCACCCTCGGCTCTTTCCACTAAATTCAGTCTGGTATTTGCTCCGAGCTCAATGTCGCCTCTTTAGCCAGAACACTGATATGATCTGGGGCTGGTTTTTCTTGCACACATCCCAAAGCTAAAACAAGGAGAGAACACAGAGATGAAACAATGGGAATAAGGCATAACATTTGCACCGCAGGATGCATTAACAATGCAACGCCTCTGATCAACACCTTTGGATGAAGATCCACCTCATATGCCGTTGTTAAACTCAGGCCTGTTCTTGTATTTCATTAGCGAGGATTCTCTATAAGCCTAACTGAAGCGGTAATATGAGGAAATCAGTGGAGTACATCATTAAGAGGAATGGGATGAAACATATGACGGATTAAATCACACACACAGGTAATTAAAAGAGCTCAATGGAACAGTAACGCTCCACCACTCAACCCTTTGTCTGAGTGTCTGTCAACAAATATTTACATGCTGTTTGGTGTTCCGTTTGCGAGCCTCGCAGTCAGAGCCATTGCCTTCCCATTAGCCATTAATAGTCACCGTTGGCAGGTGTTGAGGCTTTTTGTCTCTCTCCCCCCCCCCACCTTGTCTGCCTGCATCTCAGTCTGATGGAAAACAAATGAAGTGGCAGAAATGTGGTCTTGATTCCCACTAGACAACACCCTAACCCTGAAAGCTGCATAGTGGGCTGTTTGGGACTCTTTACCCGTATCACCTGCTCTGATACACACACTGCCTTCTATAACATTGTCATGTTAGAATCCTTAATGGAAATGTATTTCATTGGGCTTAAGGGATGCACAGATATGAAAATCTTCTATGCCCAATACCAATATTGGCTGATAACTTATATTTACTGATATTTTGTATTATACATTTCCAAATCCTTTGTACACAGGAAATCATTGGTGACATTGCTTTTGCTGAATCACAGTCCCCGTCACATGACAGTCACTATTCAGCATCATACATCCCTAAATCACCAATGTCCAGCTTCCTAATCTCTGCTGATAAAACAACCCCCACAGTGGCATACTGCCACCACCGGCTTCATCTTGTTCATTGGCTTTATTATTTTTTTTTCCATTGTTGTGGTTGAAATATCACTCAAAATCCCACAAAATACATAGAGGTTTGTGGTTGCAATGTGAGAAAAAATTCAAAAAGTTCAAGGGGTTGTGAAAAGTTTCTAAAGGCGTTGTGGGTATTACTTTCATATCATTCTTTGCTGTTGAGTTCAGGGCATTTGATATTTTGTAGAAGTCTAGCTGTCGCTTCTCTGCTTTAAGATATGGAGGCTCTTACCTCCACTCGACAGACTGCAAGGTGAAGGATAAAAGAAAAAAAAACATTTGCTCTGATAAAATTTTTTATAAAGGTGCAGTTATAGGTGTTTTCGATGGACTCTGTGTTCTGAACCTTATCTGACACTTTTATGCTTCTTTATTCTTCTTTTAGGGCTCTTACAGCTGTTTGCACACCGACCATCTTCTCTATTAACTTTGAAGAATGTCAACTGAGTGGTATAATTACCTTGTGACTGATGACTCATTTCCAAGATAGATCTAAATTTAAGGCAGAATGTCCTTTCTGCCCATTCAGGTGAATGAGAGATACCACTTGGACTGAGATGAAAAGGGCTGGCTGAAGCATTGCGTGAAATGGCTAACACTGAAGGACCTTGGGTTTACACTGTAGAACATTTCATATTTATCTGGAACAAGCATATGAGCATTTAGATACTGAGAAATGATTCAAAAAATCATTAAAGGCATAAGAAAAAAATGCAGGAATGGGTCTCTAAATAAAAGTTTTTTTCATGTTTCATTTAATGTATATATAGCCAGAAATAGCTGCATTGCATCTCTTCCTGGACAAGTAAGCCTGCTGTAGCTGTGCAAAATAGGATTGAGGGAGGGACTTATTATTGATTTGCAATTAGATTTAGCTTTTTTGTTTGTCTTAAAATTTATATTAAACCAGTTTTAGCTGCAGATATAAATCTAAAGAGAGTCTTACTTCATACATCAAAATGCTGCCAGGTTGCTAAAAACCATTATCTATGTTGTAA